CCAATCATCATAGCCCTCACAATTGAACTTCTCGACGGTGAAGTTCTTCAGCACCTCCTTGATCAGCGAGCCCTGGTTTGTTCGCGCTCCCCTTGGTGCCGAAACACCAGAATCTTGGCTGCCGCTACGATCTTGGGCTGAAGATTCACCAGCTCCCGCCGAGGTATTGCCCGCCATAGCTACCTATAACGAGGATCGCTAAAACGCAGCTCTAATACCAGCTTGCTGGTGTAAGGGCCTAATAAACTCAGGCTATTAAGACTTAATCAAACTTAAAACATCTCCTCGGGGTCACCTCCAAGGGTCCCTGGGTGCCTGGTACAAGACCAGCCCCTATCCTCGGGTCCGAGTTTGTAGAGAGAGGAGTTAAGAATGACTTAGCCAAAATAACGAGAGTACCTTGAACGTCGCGCAGCGTGCCGTGCAGATCGTCGATCGGATTAAGCTGAGAATTCGCTATAACGAAGCTCGCTCCAAGAGCTTTTAAATAAGCCAAGTTGCCTCGCGAAAAGTTCTGCCATTACTAAGTTATGGCTCGGACAGCGTTTGCCTAGCGTTGGAATGCTAGCATACTAGCGTTGACTCGGGTAGCATTCCGCCGTCAAATAGCGCAGAAACGAAACTCCAGCGAGGAAGGAATTCGCTTGAATCAATTGACTATATTCAGGTACAAACAGAGAAGGAATAAAAAGTTCTAGCTAGCAAGGACCTTGGGAATCAACCTGGGAAGAACCTGGGATGATCCCAAATAATTCCAAGCAATAGAACCAACCTGGCTGGACAAAATAGCAGGTGGTAGGTTGGTAAACAACCTCTGGTTCAGTTTTTCCAACCTGGGAAAACAACAACCAGGTTCAGGTTCTAAAAACAGAACCTGTTTTGTCTTTGCCCAACCAGCCAAATGCTGGTTCCGCTGGTTTCCCCTGGTCCTGTAGCATGCAGATACAGACAAACAACATCCAACCTTCACCTAAATTGTACCCCTATAGTGCCTGCCCTGCTACACTATAGTCAACCAAACAAAACAGTACAATTTCAAGTTGGATAGAACTGAATCTGCGCAATCCATTCAACCGAACCGCAAAGCTTCCATCTTGGGTTCCTTTGCGAGCTCGTCCTTTCTGCTTGCACTGTTCATAGCGCGTACAATGTTGTGCTGAAGCGCACATTGCGCGAGTACCTGCAAATGCATCAAGCGAAAATTGCGAAAGCAAACAAACGCACGAACATTCCATTCACACCCAAATGCATTCACACACACATACTCGTACAAATTGACGGCAAGATGTCGTTCAATATGAATTTGCACCCAACATCGTCGACATGCAGCCGAGCGGCGACGTGCGTCACGTGCGCGGCTTCAACGGGGCACTTCAGAGTGTTCAAAGTCGCGGCACTGTCGCCCTGCAAGGGGAGGCCGGGAAGCAGGTGCTCATCCCCGACGTACTCTACGTTCCGGGTGTCTAGGCGAACCTCCTATCGGCCGGCCAACTCAAGGACAACGGCATGAAGCTGTAGGATGACGACAAAGAGATGATGCTGCTGTCTGCTATAGGCAGTGTCCTTGGTCAAGCGCGCAACACCGGCAGAGTTCTCTGCACCGACCTGCGCCCCTGCTCAACGAAGTCGTCGACGTCCTCGACAGAGGTTGTGGCTCTGCGGACGATTGCGTCGGCGACGTATTCAACGTCTGACATGTGGCACGCGAGGCTCGCGCACGTCGGCGTCGACACGATCAAGAGCTCGGCGACAAGCAGATCAAGCAGATCAAGCAGTTGACCACAACAGATCTGCCGTGTGCTTCCTGCGTCGGTGGCAAGCTGGCGCGGCACACATTTTCCGACCAAGGATCTGACGTCGAGGTTGCGCTCGACGTGGTGAACATTTACATCTGTGGACTATTTCGAATGGTCGTCAACGTTGGCAGCCTCTACTTTCTTCTGTTGAAGGACAGGAAGACCCGCTATGTGTGGGTTTGGCCGATTGCGAAGAAGAACGACGTGCTGGTCGTTCTCAAAAAGTGGCTGAAGGTGGTGGAGCGGCTGACGTCGAAGACGGTAAAGAAGAAGACCGCGGAGGGGAATTTCTCGATCGAGACTTCACTGACCTCGTCGAGGACAAGGGGATCCTCCACAACCCGACGTGCCCCTACACCCCGCAGCAGAACGGCATGATGGAGCGGGAGATGCGTACGGTTGTAAAGGCCGTGCGGACGATGCTGTTTCATATGGGCGTGCAGCACCACTGGTGGCACCTTGCTCTGCGACAGGCTGTGCGGGTGCGCAACTGCCTCGAACGTGCGTCACTGCGTCGCAACTCCCTCGAGGACGACGTTGTATGAGCTGTTGTTCGAGAAGAAACATGATCTGATGTCGGCAAGGGTGTGGGGCTGCATGGTGCAGTTCATGGTCCCCGAGTAGCAGCGCGGCAGGAAGCTGGCGCTGAAAGCCCGCTAGGCTCTCCACCTCGGGGTGATGCCGGAGAGCAAGGGCTGGGAGGTGCTCGACTTGACCGACAACAAAGTTGTCACAACGGTCGAAACGATCTTCTACGAGACACGGTCGATGGAGAATTGGAAGGCGGAGTACGGGCCAGCGTCGACGAGGACGCCATCTGCCGCGCCGCCAGATTCCTCCTCGGCGATGCCTCCATTGCTCGCCGGAGTCGACGAGCATAATGACGAGGACGACAAAGACGCCCCACTCCCTCCTCCCAGTATCCCCAGTGTGTCAAACATTATACATGTTGTATTTGTGTAGGCTGTAGTGGGTTAGCCTATAGGGGGGTCACAACATTAGGGTTTCATATTTGTACTCACAATCCTTGCTAGTTCATCATTCCAGTCCGTTCTCGTTGACATGGTTTCAGAGCAGGTCCTTCGCTAGGACCGTTTTTTTTAAGGGCCCACCGTTCCCTACCTACCTACCTACCTACCTAGGGCGCCTCGAATTTTTTTTTTTTTTTTTAACGGCCCCTACATCCCGCGACCCGCGACCCGCCCCTTAAGGCCCCGTCGCGCCGCCCCTTAGCCGCTCGCGCGCGGTCGTTTTCATACGTGCGCCCCGCCTGCTGCCCGCGCGCGCCTTATTTCCCTCGCGCGCGGCCCGTCGCCTACTCGCGCACGCCCCGCAGCCGCTCGTAGCCTGCTCGCGCACGCCCCGCAGCCGCCCGTCGCCTGCTCGCGCACGCCCCGCAGGCCCGCAGCCCGCCGTCGCAGCGGCCGCCCGCCCGCAGCCGCCCGTCGCCTGCTCGCGCACGCCCCGCAGCCGCCCGTCGCCTGCTCGCGCACGCCCCGCTGCCCGCAGCCGCTCGTACGCCGCTGCTTCCGCTGCTGCTTGCGCACCGCTGCCTCCCGAGCGCCGCCGCTGCCTGTGCGCCGCCGCTGCCCGTGCGCCGTCGCTGCCCCTACGCTGCCGCTGCCCGTGCGCTGCCGCTGCCCGTGCGCCGCTGCCGCCCGTGCGCTTCTGCAGCCGCCGCCCGCGAGGCACTCGCTCTCACTGTTGTTTATTTTCTACCTACCGCGCACACTGCTGCCACTGCAGCTGCCACCAGTGCGCCGTTGCAGCTCCTGCTGCCACGCTACCTACTACTGCCGCTCGTGTGCCACTACGGACAGTCGACCCCGCCCGCGCCTTGCCTAGCGGCCCCGCCGGCCCCGTTGACCCTCCGCACACCTTTCCAGCGGCCTGATTCCTACTACTACTGTTACTACTGCTACTACTGCTACTGCTACTGTCACTATGGCTAGTCCTCCAGTTCTAGCTTTCGATGCCGAGGGCCGTCCAGTGAAGTTCGAAACCTGGCTAGATGACCTGCACCTGTTCCTACAGCTCACTGCCAAGGAAGATATCTCACTGTACGACCACGCCCTAGGCCATGCCACTGCCCCTGACTCGTCTGCTGACAGCACTCTGCGTTCCCAGTGGCAGACCCGTGATGCGCACGCTCGCTTTGCTATTTGCAACTCCCTGCCGCTAGACGAGCGCGAGCACTTCGGCCAGTGCAAGACTGCTAAGGACCTCTACACCGCTGTAGTTGCCCGCTACTCCTCACCCGCTTCTGCCACGCTAGGCCGCCTCACTCTCCCCTACCTGTTCCCCGACCTAGCCTCCTTTCACACTGTCGCAGACCTCATCACCCACCTTAAGACTAGTGAGGCCCGCTTTCGCGCTGCTATGCCTGCCGAGTTTCTCACTAGCAACCCCCCCCCGCTCTGGATCACTCTCTACCACATCGTCACCCGCCTCCCTGACTCTCTGCGCGCAGTCAGGGACCACTTCCTCTCTCGCTCCCCCACTGAGCTCACTGTTGCCCTCCTCGAGAAGGAACTGCTTGCAGCTGAGGCGAGCATCGTCGCTGTAGGCACCTCTCGTGGCGACCCCCGCACCCCGTTCTTTGAGGGGTGTTCCCCTTCCCCCCTCCTCCCCTCTGTCGCCTCTGCTGCTGCTGTCGACCTTCTTGGTGCTGAGAAGGTCGGGACCGCGTCTGCTTCGAGCGGGCGCCGCAGGAACAAAGGGGGCAGGGGTGGGGGTGGCGGCGGAGGAGGTGGGGGTGGAGGCGGTGGGAGTGGAGGCGCGGCTGGGGAGACTAGTGGCGGCAGTGGGGGAGGAGACAGCAGCGGTGGGAGTGGTGGCGGAGGCGGCAGCGGAGGCGGAGGTGGTCGTGGCGGCGGCAGGGGTGGAGGTGGCCGGGGCGGCGGCGGTGGGGGTGGTGGTCGTGGAGGCACTGGCGGAGGGCAGAGTCAGCAGCCCGCCCCGACGCTTCAGGCCGCCCGTGAGTGGTATGCGCAGCGTGGCTTTACCTGCACGTACGTCATTCGCACAGGTGACCGCAGCGGCCAGCAGTGTGGGAGGCCGCACCCCACGCAGCGCTGCTTCGCGCGCCTTACCGACGCGTGGCGCACTCAGTTTCCTGCTGCCACTGAGCTGCCGCGCTGGGCTGATCTGGAAAAGAGGGGTGTTGATATTTGGGCTTTAGACTTTGATGCTATTCTCACTGCCATGTATGCGATGTCTATTAGTGGAGAGGGTGCTCAGTACTTGCGTGTTCCGCCCGACCCGGGCATTCAGGCCAGTCCGGCTGCCGCTCTAGGTGCTAGTGCGTCTGCTCCCACAGGTCCTGGTGAGGCTGCAGCCCTAGGTGCTAGTGCGTCCGTGCCCCCTGGTACTGAGTCGACTGCAGCACTGCACACCTTCACACTGGACTCAGGTGCTTCTCGCTCCTTCTTTCGTGACCGCACTGTCCTTGAGCCACTCGCTCGGCCAGTTGTTGTCTCCCTTGCTGACCCCTCTGGGGGTCCGGTCATTGCGACCTCCTCCACTGTCCTTCCTTGTCCGGCGGTCCCGTCCGGCACGCTGTCAGGTCTCTACCTCCCCTCGTTCTCTACGAACTTGGTGGCAGGTAGTGCGCTCCAGGACGGGGGTGTTCACCAGTTCACCCCCGCCTACGAGCGCGTGACACACTGCACGTGTGCTCGGACGGGTCGCCACCTGGCTACCTTCACTCGGGAGCCGGGGTCGGACCTTTACACACTGACCACTGAGTCCCCTCAGGTAGCTGCGTCCGCGTCTGCGTCTGCGTCAGGTCAGCTGTCCGCCCCCTGCTCGTGTCGCTCTCTGGCGCATGAGACTGTCCTTTGGCACCACCGCCTTGGTCACCCGTCTGTGCAGCGCCTTCGGGCCATGCACAAACGGGACCTTGTTGCTGGTCTTCCCAGGGTACTCCCTCCCCTTCCAGACTCGCCTGCTCCTCCCTGTATTCCCTGTGTCGAGGGGCGGCAGCGCGCCGCTCCTCACTCCTCCTCCTTTCCCCCGACGACTGCTCCTTTGCAGACGCTCCACTTGGACGTGTGGGGCCCAGCCCGCGTCCGTGGCCAGGGTCAGGAGAGGTACTTCCTGATTGTTGTTGACGACTTCTCGCGCTTCACCACGGTCTTCCCCTTGCGCGCCAAGGGTGACGTCCCTGATGTATTGATCCCCTGGATCCGCAGATCTCGTCTCCAGCTCAGTGAGCGTTTCCGCTCCGACTTCCCTGTCCTGCGTCTGCACTCTGACAGAGGTGGGGAGTTTACCTCTGGCCTCTTGGAGGCCTTCTGTCAGCAGGAGGGCATTGAGCAGTCGTACACGCTTCCGGCCTCTCCACAGCAGAATGGGGTTGCTGAGCGCCGCATTGGCCTGGTCATGGAGGTCGCTCGTACCTCCTTGAGCCATGCGGCTGCCCCCCATTTTCTGTGGCCGTTTGCAGTCCGATACGCTGCGCATCAGCTCAACCTCTGGCCCCGTGTCTCCTTGCCCGAGACTTCTCCGACACTGCGTTGGACGGGAGAGGCTGGCGATGCGTCGCGTTTTCGGGTCTGGGGATCCCGAGCTTTTGTCCGCGACACGTCCGCGGACAAGCTCTCCCGTCGCGCTGTCCCCTGCGTCTTCCTTGGCTTTGTCCCGGACGCCCCTGGCTGGCAGTTCTACCACCCCACCTCGCGTCGTGTCCTGGCCTCTCAGGACGTCACTTTTGACGAGTCCGTCCCCTACTACCGCCTCTTCCCCTACCGCACTGCCCCGCTCCCCCCCCCACCTCTCTTCCTCGCTCCAGGTGCTGAGGTACCAGACCCCCTCCCCCCTCAGGGTGCCGCTCCCTCAGGTGTGTCCCAGGTAGACCCGGGTGAGCCTGTCGAGGTAGCTGTTGACTCTCGTCCTGCTAGGGGTGCTGAGCCTGGGGGTGCTGCATCTGGGGGTGCTGAGCCTGGGAGTGCTGAGTCTGGGGGTGCGGAGCCTGGAGGTGCGGAGCCTGGAGGTGCTGAGCCTGGGGGTGCTGAGTCTGGGGGTGCTGAGTCCGGGGGTGCTGAGCCTGAGCGTGCTACACCTGGAGGAGCCCTCTCCTCCCAGCAGCTGCAGGAGAGGTACCTCGAGTACTGCCGCCTCCGCAGAGGTGCTGCTGGAGCTCGTCCTGGTACTTCCCCTCCTACCCGGGAGCTCCCCCCCATTCAGCAGATCCGCGAGTGGTACACACGGCGCTGCAGTCTTCGGAGTGGTGCTCCTGGTGCTGCGGACCCTGGGGGTGGCGCTGCTGCTGGTGCTGAGGACCCGGACGTTGGAGCTGCTGCTGGTGCTGCGGACCCGCCTGGTGGAGCTGCTGCTGGTGCTGAGGACTCGGACGTTGGAGCTGCTGCTGGAGCTGAGGACCCGGGCGGTGGCGCTGCTGCTGGTGCTGAGGACCCGGACGTTGGAGCTTCTACTGGTGCTGAGGACCCGGGCGGTGGAGCTGCTGCTGGTGCTGAGGACTCGGACGGTGGAGCTGCTGCTGGAGCTGAGGACCCGAGCGGTGGCGCTGCTGCTGCTGCTGAGGACCCGGGCGTTGGAGCTACTACTGGTGCTGAGGACCCGGCCGGTGGAGCTGCTGCTGGTGCTGTGGACCCGGACGCTGGAGCTCCTACTGGTACTGAGGACCCGGCCGCTGGAGTCTCTTCTGCTTCTGGAGACGCTGCGCGGCCGCGACCGTACTTCGTACCGCTCCTTCAGCAGGTTCTTGGGCAGGCTCCTCCTCCTTGTCCTCCTCCCTCCGTAGAGTGTCCTCCGCCTGTCCAGCCGCAGTCACTGTTACCGCCTACCTCGCCTCTCCCTGCTCCCTCTCCTTACACTGGTCCCACAGGAGGTCTTACAGAGCGTCGTGAGCCTGAGTCTCGTCCTGCGTCGCCTGTTCGTCCTGCTCGCACTGGTAGTCGTGTCCGTCGTGAGCGTCCTCCTCCTGTCCCAGGCACTCACTACATGACTCTGCGTCCCTCTACTGCTCCTCAGCGTGTCCCTCTACCGTCTCCTCCTGCGTCCTCTTTGCCTGACGTTCCGGCCCCTGAGTCTGACCGGTATCGTGCTGAGCACCCTACTGTCACGCGTCTCCTCGCTACTGTTGTCACTGACCCTACCTTTGAGTCCTCGGCTGCGTCTGCTCTGGTCGCTGAGTTGGTTGACTTTGCTGCTGCCTGTCGTCTAGACTACGCTGCTAGCCTTGTTGCTGAGTCTGAGTCTGAGTCTGTCTGTCCTCCGTCCGTCGGGGGTGAGTGTGCTCTTGGCACGGACGTCCTTGAGGACAGACAGGAGGAGTTCCAGTGTCTTGCTGCTGCTTTGCCCCGTCTCGTGTCCTTGCTAGTTGCCCCTGAGGGAGACCCGGATGCACCAGACATCCCGACCCCGCGCACTTACGCTGAGGCGATGGCGGGTCCCTACTCCTCTCAGTGGCAGACAGCCATGGACGCCGAGATGGCTTCCTGGAAGTCCACACGCACCTACGTCGACGAGGTTCCCCCTCCTTGGGCGAACATCGTCAGTGGCATGTGGATTTTCAGGGTGAAGCGGCCGCCGGGTTCTCCGCCTGTCTTCAAGGCGCGTTACGTGGCTCGAGGCTTCAGTCAGCGAGAGGGAGTTGACTTCTTCCAGACCTTCTCCCCCACCCCAAAGATGACTACTCTTCGGGTGCTGCTGCACATAGCCGCTCACCGCGACTACGAGCTTCACTCACTTGACTTCAGCACTGCTTTCTTGCAGGGCAGCCTGCACGAGGAGATCTGGCTGCGCCGCCCACCTGGCTTCACTGGGTCGTTTCCTCCTGGTACCCAGTGGAGGCTTCAGCGGCCGGTCTACGGTCTCCGCCAGGCTCCGCGTGAGTGGCACGACACACTGAGGACTACACTTGCGGCTCTTGGGTTCGCGCCTTCTACAGCTGACCCGTCGCTGTTCCTGCGCACAGACACTTCGCTGCCGCCGTTCTACATCCTCGTGTACGTCGACGACTTGGTCTTTGCCACTGCTGACACTGCAGGACTCGCCTACGTGAAGTCGGAGCTGCAGAGGAGACACACGTGCACAGACCTGGGTGAGCTGACAAGCTATCTTGGCTTGCGGATCACCCGGGACAGAGCACGGCGCACCATCACCCTGACTCAGTCACACATGGTGCAGCAGGTTCTCCAGCGCTTCCGCTTCACGTACTCCTCGCCTCAGTCCACTCCTCTGCCTACCGGTCACTCGCTCTCAGCTCTGCCTTCGGATGAGTCCGTAGAGCCGAGTGGCCCGTATCCAGAGCTTGTGGGCTGCCTCATGTACCTGATGACCTGCACTCGACCTGGCCTTGCATACCCTCTTAGCATCCTTGCACGCTATGTCGCTCCTGGCCGTCACAGGAAGGAGCACATGGATGCCGCTAAGAGGGTGTTGCGCTACTTGTGCAGTACGTCGGGCATGGGGCTTGTGCTTGGAGGGCGAGACCGAGTTGTTCTCACAGGGCACTCAGACGCTTCTTGGGCAGACGACCAGGCCACTCAGCGGTCGTCTCAGGGTTACACCTTCAGCCTTGGCTCTGGCTCAGTTTCTTGGCGCTCTACACGCTCTTCTTCTGTTCTCGGCTCCAGTTGCGAGGCTGAGATCTACGCTACAGCCATGGCTGCCCAGGAGCTACGCTGGCTGACCTACCTGCTGACCGACCTCGGAGAGCGGCCTCGTTCTCCTCCAGTACTGTACGTCGACAACAAGGCTGCCATTGCCTTGTGTGAGGAGCACAGACTGGAGCACAGAACGAAGCACATCGCCCTGCGGTACTTCCTTGCTCGTGAGCTGCAGCAGCGCGGTCAGCTTTGTATTCGCTACGTGGCCACTGAGGCCAACACTGCTGATGTGTTCACCAAGGCGCTTCAGCCTCGTGACCATCAGCGCTTCTGCACTCTACTAGGCCTTGTGCCTACTGGACCTCACTTACTTACCTCTTGACTTTGCTTGTACTGTGATCACTATATATATCTATACCTACATGTTTACTCTTGCTAGGTTGTGATCACTGTATCTCTTGCTCTGTTATAAACCTGCATGTGAACTGGTCTTGTGACCACTAGCTTGTGCTCGGAATTTGTGTGGAATCCTTGAGATCCACCCTGAGCTTGTTGTTGCCTTGCTTTGCCTTGACTGGTCTTGTGACCCCTAGGTCTCCCCCACTTTGCCTATGGGGGTGTGTCAAACATTATACATGTTGTATTTGTGTAGGCTGTAGTGGGTTAGCCTATAGGGGGGTCACAACATTAGGGTTTCATATTTGTACTCACAATCCTTGCTAGTTCATCATTCCAGTCCGTTCTCGTTGACACAGTGTGCCCCCGTCGGCGACATCGTCGCCCTCCCCTTCACCGCCCGCCGTCGACCTTCCTGAGGGATCTACGTCGGTCGTAGGCGATAAGGGGAGAATTGGTGCGTTGCCTGCAGCTCCGACTGGTTGCATCACCAGTGGCCGACGTGACGCCGAGAAGGTCAGTGCCTGGAAGCTGTAGACGACATGGGAGTTGTCGACAAGGTTCCGACATCGGCAGAGGAGCCGGCGGCAAAAGAGAAGTTGTCAGAGGAGCCGACGGCAGAGGAGAAATTGGCAGGGGAGCCAACGGCAGAGGAAAAATTGGCAGAGGAGAAATTGTGGATCAGATCGACGATGGCATGTCGAGCGACGTTGTGGAAGTCGTCGGCGGCGATGAAGGGGAGCTGTCGACGGGGGAGCAATCTAGCGACAGCGATGTGGTGGAAGTCTCCGCCGACAAACATGATCTGCGACGTTCCATACACTCTAATTTTGGCAAGCCTCGCGAGAAGCTGAGCTACCATGCTTGCCTGCCGCCGACCTCCTACAGCATGCTGCTCGACAATGCACAGGCCGACGTCGACTTACCCGAGCTCGACCCTGACGTGCACGCCGATCCGGAGCACCGCAAGGACATCGCCAACATGACGGTGAAGGAGGCGTTGGCGAGCTAGAAGGGCAAGGCGGTGAAGGCCGCCATGGATGAGGAAATCAGGAGCCTCATTGCCAACGGGACGTGGGAGGTGGTTGAGCGTCCGCTCGGTATCAGCATCATGAAGAACCTCTGGGTGCTTATGACGAAGTACCATGTCGATGACACGGTCGCCTGTGAGAAGGCCCGCCTACTAGTGAAAGGCTTTACGTAGGTCTAAAACGCAGACTACGACGAAACGTACGAGTCGGAGGGGAGCTACGTCACGCTGAGGATTTTCCTCAGCATCGTCGCCGTCCTCGACCTGCATCTGATGCAGCTCGGCATGAAGAGCGCGTTCCTGCAGAGCAAGCTGGATCGAGTCCTCTACATGTACCAACCAGACTACTACAACGACGGCACCGGCCGCGTCTGCAAGCTGCTGAAAAGCCTGTACGGCCTGAAGCAGAGTCCGCTGTTGTGGTACTCGGCGCTCGATGCAGTGCTGACCGGCGCCGACTGAAAGAAGAGTCAGGTCGATGAAACGCTCTACTTCAATGTCGGCGACGACAGAGTGGCGTGTTGGGTGCTCGTCTACGTCACGACATGCTTGCTGCCAACAGTAGCACTGCGATGTTGAAGGTGTCATGAATACTAGGAGTGGGGCCTAGGCTTAGTAGCCTAGGCCCACACTAAGAGGTAGTAGGATGTGCCCTAGGACTAGGGTTTTGGGTATGCGAAGGAGAATGGTGAGAATGAGGTGGTTGAACTAGCAAGAGTTGGGATACAAGTAGGAAACCCTAAAGGGTTGTACTCACTGTTGAGTACCCCACTGCAGGCTAGACAAGTAACATTCTGACACACCCCCATAGCCAAAGTGGGGTGCAATCAGCAGAGCAAGCAAAGTAGTACAAGCTTAGGGTGGATCACAATGTCACCACACATTCTGAGCACAAGTTCAAGAAGCAACAGTTTAAAGTTCACAACTATGAGCAAAGCTAGTGGTAGTCACAACGGGCAAGTGAGGAGGAGGAGAGACTGTGAGGGGAGAGAAGATAGGAGACGTCGTTTGGAGCTGCAGTCACATGGCGGCTGACTCAGATAACTGGTGCAGCACAAGCTCTCAGTGGCTACCGAGGTAAGCACCCCGGAATACAGGAGTAACAGGCTCTGCAGCTGCGGCAGGAGCATCGGACCCACGGGCGACTGGTGTAGCACTCACTCTGCGCTACCGAGACAGAGCCCCGGACTTCAGGTGCTGCAGACGACAAGACGGCAGCCTCCGGTCAACCTCCCCCAACTGTCCCACACACCCCCCACACACCCACTGCTTCACCCCTAGCTCCACTCCCCCTTCACTCCTGAAACCCTAAACCCTCGGCTCCCACACATCCACCCCCCTCAGCGGCAGCTGCAGCAGTGGGAGACGAGGAAGGAGGAGGAGGAGGAAAGGAGCGACGCAAACGGAGCACCCCCACACCAGCCACCCCCACACCCCTTGTGGTGGGGGGGGGGGGGGGGGGGGGGGGGGGGGGCAGAGCAGAACAGTGCGCACGAGGGCGCAGACAGTAGCAGAGCGCACGAGGGCGCGGGCACGAGGCACGAGGCACACGGCACGAGGCACAGGCACAGGCACAGGCACAGGCACAGGCAGAGGCACAGGCACAGGCACAGGCATAGGCAGGTAGGTAGGTAGGCACGAGGCTCGAGGCACAAGGCACGAGCAGGCACAGGCACAGGCACAGGCACAGGCAGAGGCACAGGCACAGGCACAGGCACAGGCAGGTAGGTAGTAGGCTCGAGGCACAAGGCACGAGCAGGCACAGGCACAGGCAGAGGCACAGGCACAGGCACAGGCACAGGTAGGTAGGTAGTAGGCTCGAGGCACAAGGCACGAGCAGGCACAGGCACAGGCACAGGCAGAGGCACAGGCACAGGCACAGGCAGGTAGGTAGTAGGCTCGAGGCACAAGGCACGAGCAGGCACAGGCACAGGCACAGGCAGAGGCACAGGCACAGGCACAGGCAGGTAGGTAGTAGGCTCGAGGCACAAGGCACGAGCAGGCACAGGCACAGGCACAGGCACAGGCAGAGGCACAGGCACAGGCACAGGCACAGGCACAGGCACAGGTAGGTAGGTAGTAGGCTCGAGGGACAAGGCACGGGCAGCACAGGCACGGGCAGCATCGGGCAGCAGCAGAGCGTACCGGGTCCAGGGGCGGCTTCTGAGGTCCAGGGGCGGCTGCTGCAGGGGCGGCTGCTCCAGGGGCGGCTGCTGCAGTTGCTGGCGGCTCCAGGGGCGGCTGCTGCAGGGGCGGCTGCTCCAGGGGCGGCTGCTGCTGTGGCGGGCGACTCCAGTGGTGGCTGCTGCAGTGGCGGGCGGCTCCAGGGGCGGCTGCTGCAGGGGCGGCTGCTCCAGGGGCGGCTGCTGCTGTGGCGGGCGACTCCAGGGGCGGCTGCTGCAGTGGCGGGCGGCTCCAGGGGCGGCTGCTGCAGTGGCGGGCGGCTCCAGGGGCTGCTGCTGCAGTTGCTGGCGGCTCCAGGGGCTGCTGCAGCAGTTGCGGGCGGCTCCAGGGGCTGCTGCTGCAGGTGCTGGCGGCTCCAGGGGCTGCTGCTGCAGGTGCTGGCGGCTCCAGGGGCTGCTGCTGCAGTTGCGGGCGGCTCCAGGGGCTGCTGCTGCAGTGGCGGGCGGCTCCAGGGGCTGCTGCTGCAGTGGCGGGCGGCTCGAGGCGCGCCCTGGCCTGGCGCAGTCCGTACGGGCCGCGCGCGGGCCTGGCGCAGCCCGTACGGGCCGCGCGCGGGCCTGGCGCAGCCCGTACGGGCCGCGCGCGGGCCTGGCGCAGCCCGTACGGGCCGCGCGCAGGCTGGACGGGCCGCGCGCGGGCCCTACGGAGGTCGCACGGGCCACGACGGGCGACGGGGGGCGACGCGCGGGTCCCCGTCGCCCGTCGCAGCTCCTCCCGGGGGCGACTCGCGGAGTGACGGGGCAGAAAGCCGCCGCGCGCCTCGGGGCGCACGGCGGGCAGAAAACCGCCGCGCGCCTCGGGGCGCACGGCGGGCAGAAAACCGCCGCACGCTCCGAGCGCGCGGCGGGATGAAAAATTAGGGTTTCGCCGCCGCGCACCACGGGGCGCGCGGCGGACGGTACGGCAGCGGAAGCAGGTGGTGGGCCCATGGAGGTAAGCGGCAGGAACGTACTGGCTCTAGATACCATGTCATGAATACTAGGAGTGGGGCCTAGGCTTAGTAGCCTAGGCCCACACTAAGAGGTAGTAGGATGTGCCCTAGGACTAGGGTTTTGGGTATGCGAAGGAGAATGGTGAGAATGAGGTGGTTGAACTAGCAAGAGTTGGGATACAAGTAGGAAACCCTAAAGGGTTGTACTCACTGTTGAGTACCCCACTGCAGGCTAGACAAGTAACATTCTGACAGAAGGAGCTGAAGGAGCTGCTGGAGGCCGCTTTCGAGCTCCGCGAGATCAGCCCGGTCGGTGCAAAAGTACCTCGGGCTGGAGATCGTACGCGACCGACCTGCGCGGAAGTTGTGGCTTTACCAGCAAGCCTACATCGACACGCTGCGTCCGCGTTTCATCGACAAATAGCAGACCGGGCGATTGCCGAAGACGCCGATCTCCGCAGAGCTGATCTTCGACGCCTACGCAGGGCTGATGTTCAACAACGACGAGTACCAGTCGCGCGAAGAAGCCGAGTATCGGCAGAAGGTCGGTAATTCATTTGTCGATTGGTACCGTATAGCCCCGGATATAAGCTTCATCCTACCGTAAGACCCCGGATAGAAGCGCAGGCCTCGGATAAGCGCCGGCGCTTATAAAAGGATGAGGGCGCTTATATCCGGTCCTCGATTATAAAGGCACCCAGTAAAAATCCGTGATTTATTATAAGCGTATGTCGATTTTTATTTGAAAATCAGTACCGTTGTACAGAAACGAATTTCACCTTAGCAGGGAAACGAAGTACAATTTCAGTTTCCCACTCACATCTCTCTTTCTGCGCGTCTAGTCAGCACGTGCTGTCACTTAGTCAGCATGTGTTGGCAGGGAATCAATCCCTGCCAAGCTGCGCGAGAATCAGATTCGCGACCCCATATATTTTCGACTCGATTACAATGGGCAAACTGAGATCTACAGTTTGGTGCAAAACAAACTTAATTTCATTTTTGCCATTTTATAAACGCCGGCGCTTATAAATTTCCTCGATTATAAGCGCACCCCCTAAAAAACAGTGTTTTATTACAACCCCAGGGGCGCTTCTATCCGGGGTATGACGGTATTAAAAGTGCCGGCGCTTCTATCTGGAGCATGGTACTTATGGCCATTACTCAATTATAAGCGCACCTCCTGAAAACATGTACTTGAAATATAAGCGCACGTACAATTTAGATATAAAATCGTGCTTAAAAACGGCAACGCATTTCATTTTTGTAGCGAGTCCAATTTAATTTTCACTTCGCTTGACTCTCGAAGACCTGACTGGCTGCAAGTCCATGCAGGATGTGCTACGGTAACATGACTGGGAAATGATCAGATTGGGGCCCCAAAGCTCTAGAAATAGAGCAAACTTGGGGCCTCGTGTATCGCGAAGTGTCGAACCTGGTCCGGACCTGTCACTAACCAGTTGCGGGCCTTACCCACGCGCTCCGTCAGACCTTACCACACAAGGTGACGGATTTCTGAACGGACAAGCTGGCAAAAAAAATAAACCCCAGACGGGCATGCATCCGGTCAGGGAGGCATCAACCCTAAACACCTTGTCGCATGTGTTTAGGGTTGATGTCTCCCCAATTTTACGCCATACGATTGAGTTTTATTATTTTTACCACTGCGATAACATTTTTGGGCTAAAATGTTTATTTCTAGGTTATTTTGCTGAAGTATCCGTACTGCCCATTGTGAATGGGCTGACGATCGCTGCTCCCGTCAACCAGGGTGCTAGCGAAATCCGTCAAACCCAAGCCAGCAGGTGGTGACCTGGCGAGCTCGGCCTAGCTGCCTAGGCTTGTGGGTTGCTTCGGGCCTTCATCGTAGGCTCGCGAATCACGAGGCCCCAAGTTGGCCATCTTTCTGCTAATCCGAGGCCCCAATATGATCAATCCCCAACATGACTGAAACTTTGCCCATTGTGCTGGAAGTCGAATCGCTTGCACGTGATTCTGCTTTGTGACGCGAAATTATTTCGACTCGGTTCAAATGGCAACAATGAAATGAACAATTTGATACCCTAAAAGTATAACTTTGTATTTGTCGTTTAAGCACATGCGCTTATACCCTAAACTCAATTAATAGCGCCCCCTTGAAAAGAAGCAATTTTTTATAATCGCACCAGCGCTATAATCCGGAGCCATACGGTACACTCGAATGTATATTATTAACACTTATCAAGAGCAGTAGTTCCCTGTCAGGACAGGATCCCCTTTTGCTTTTCTGTGTTGTCTCTTTTGCCTACAGTAAATGCAGCGGGGCAATACCGTCTCAGCCGCCATTTACACTGCTGCCGGTATGCTGTTGCATTTAAAGATTTAGATGCTTCTCTATATCAACGCATTGCAGAAAAAAGAGGTCAAAACGGGTTTGAAAATACAAATTCCATAGACACACAAAAGGCCCGTGGTTTGAAGACACATGAGATGCCACACACAAACACATCTGCGCCCCACTGCCAGGGGCGCCCACCACCCTATCTCTGCCCAACTGCCACGGGTGCCCGCCCTGCTGCTGCCCCCAAACGTTGCCGCCTCTGCTGGCGCCTCGCGTTGTCCACCTCAAAGTGCGCCAACGCCGCATCCAAACTCTGGTGGCGCCGTGTGGTGGGGTGGGGTGGGGTGGGGTGTGGGCCCACCCGCAGAGCGAGGTGGTCGCGGTGGGAGGGGAAGGGAGGGAACGGGATGAAGGGGAGAAGTGAGAGGAGCGATGTGCGGGTTGTGAAGAGCAGGCAGGCAGCTTGGGTGGTGCCTCTCCCCCGCAGCACCCAAATGTCAAAAGGGCTGTAGCAGCAAGTGCACCTGGAAGAAGGGCTGTAGCAGCAAGTGCACCTGGACGAGGGGCTGTAGCAGCAAGTGCACCTGGAAGAAGGGCTGTAGCAGCAAGTGCACCTGGACGAGGGGCTGTAGCAGCAAGTGCACCTGGAAGAAGGGCTGTAGCAGCAAGTGCACCTGGACGAGGGGCTGTAGCAGCAAGTGCACCTGGAAGAAGGGCTGTAGCAGCAAGTGCACCTGGAAGAAGGGCTGTAGCAGCAAGTGCACCTGGAAGAAGGGCTGTAGCAGCAAGTGCACCTGGAAGAAGGGCTGTAGCAGCAAGTGCACCTGGAAGAAGGGCTGTAGCAGCAAGTGCACCTGGACGAGGGGCTGTAGCAGCAAGTGCACCTGGAAGAAGGGCTGTAGCAGCAAGTGCACCTGGACGAGGGGCTGTAGCAGCAAGTGCACCTGGAAGAAGGGCTGTAGCAGCAAGTGCACCTGGAAGAAGGGCTGTAGCAGCAAGTGCACCTGGAAGAAGGGCTGTAGCAGCAAGTGCACCTGGAAGAAGGGCTGTAGCAGCAAGTGCACCTGGAAGAAGGGCTGTAGCAGCAAGTGCACCTGGAAGAAGGGCTGTAGCAGCAAGTGCACCTGGAAGAAGGGCTGTAGCAGCAAGTGCACCTGGACGAGGGGCTGTAGCAGCAAGTGCACCTGGAAGAAGGGCTGTAGCAGCAAGTGCACCTGGAAGAAGGGCTGTAGCAGCAAGTGAAACTGGAAGAAGGGCTGTAGCAGCAAGTGCACCTGGAAGAAGGGCTGTAGCAGCAAGTGCACCTGGAAGAAGGGCTGTAGCAGCAAGTGCACCTGGAAGAAGGGCTGTAGCAGCAAGTGCACCTGGAAGAAGGGCTGTAGCAGCAAGTGCACCTGGAAGAAGGGCTGTAGCAGCAAGTGCACCTGGAAGAAGGGCTGTAGCAGCAAGTGCACCTGGAAGAAGGGCTGTAGCAGCAAGTGCACCTGGACGAGGGGCTGTAGCAGCAAGTGCACCTGGAAGAAGGGCTGTAGCAGCAAGTGCACCTGGAAGAAGGGCTGTAGCAGCAAGTGCACCTGGAAGAAGGGCTGTAGCAGCAAGTGCACCTGGACGAGGGGCTGTAGCAGCAAGTGCACCTGGAAGAAGGGCTGTAGCAGCAAGTGCACCTGGAAGAAGGGCTGTAGCAGCAAGTGAAACTGGAAGAAGGGCTGTAGCAGCAAGTGCACCTGGAAGAAGGGCTGTAGCAGCAAGTGCACCTGGAAGAAGGGCTGTAGCAGCAAGTGCACCTGGAAGAAGGGCTGTAGCAGCAAGTGCACCTGGAAGAAGGGCTGTAGCAGCAAGTGCACCTGGAAGAAGGGCTGTAGCAGCAAGTGCACCTGGAAGAAGGGCTGTAGCAGCAAGTGCACCTGGAAGAAGGGCTGTAGCAGCAAGTGCACCTGGAAGAAGGGCTGTAGCAGCAAGTGCACCTGGAAGAAGGGCTGTAGCAGCAAGTGCACCTGGAAGAAGGGCTGTAGCAGCAAGTGCACCTGGAAGAAGGGCTGTAGCAGCAAGTGCACCTGGAAGAAGGGCTGTAGCAGCAAGTGCACCTGGAAGAAGGGCTGTAGCAGCAAGTGCACCTGGAAGAAGGGCTGTAGCAGCAAGTGCACCTGGAAGAAGGGCTGTAGCAGCAAGTGCACCTGGAAGAAGGGCTGTAGCAGCAAGTGCAACTGAAAGAAGGGCTGTAGCAGCAAGTGCACCTGGAAGAAGGGCTGTAGCAGCAAGTGCACCTGGACGAGGGGCTGTAGCAGCAAGTGCACCTGGAAGAAGGGCTGTAGCAGCAAGTGCACCTGGAAGAAGGGCTGTAGCAGCAAGTGCACCTGGAAGAAGGGCTGTAGCAGCAAGTGCACCTGGAAGAAGGGCTGTAGCAGCAAGTGCACCTGGAAGAAGGGCTGTAGCAGCAAGTGCACCTGGAAGAAGGGCTGTAGCAGCAAGTGCACCTGGAAGAAGGGCTGTAGCAGCAAGTGCACCTGGAAGAAGGGCTGTAGCAGCAAGTGCACCTGGAAGAAGGGCTGTAGCAGCAAGTGCACCTGGAAGAAGGGCTGTAGCAGCAAGTGCACCTGGAAGAAGGGCTGTAGCAGCAAGTGCACCTGGAAGAAGGGCTGTAGCAGCAAGTGCACCTGGAAGAAGGGCTGTAGCAGCAAGTGCACCTGGAAGAAGGGCTGTAGCAGCAAGTGCACCTGGAAGAAGGGCTGTAGCAGCAAGTGCACCTGGAAGAAGGGCTGTAGCAGCAAGTGCACCTGGAAGAAGGGCTGTAGCAGCAAGTGCACCTGGACGAGGGGCTGTAGCAGCAAGTGCACCTGGAAGAAGGGCTGTAGCAGCAAGTGCACCTGGAAGAAGGGCTGTAGCAGCAAGTGCACCTGGAAGAAGGGCTGTAGCAGCAAGTGCACCTGGAAGAAGGGCTGTAGCAGCAAGTGCACCTGGAAGAAGGGCTGTAGCAGCAAGTGCACCTGGACGAGGGGCTGTAGCAGCAAGTGCACCTGGAAGAAGGGCTGTAGCAGCAAGTGCACCTGGAAGAAGGGCTGTAGCAGCAAGTGCACCTGGAAGAAGGGCTGTAGCAGCAAGTGCACCTGGAAGAAGGGCTGTAGCAGCAAGTGCACCTGGAAGAAGGGCTGTAGCAGCAAGTGCACCTGGAAGAAGGGCTGTAGCAGCAAGTGCACCTGGAAGAAGGGCTGTAGCAGCAAGTGCACCTGGAAGAAGGGCTGTAGCAGCAAGTGCACCTGGAAGAAGGGCTGTAGCAGCAAGTGCACCTGGAAGAAGGGCTGTAGCAGCAAGTGCACCTGGAAGAAGGGCTGTAGCAGCAAGTGCACCTGGAAGAAGGGCTGTAGCAGCAAGTGCACCTGGAAGAAGGGCTGTAGCAGCAAGTGCACCTGGAAGAAGGGCTGTAGCAGCAAGTGCACCTGGAAGAAGGGCTGTAGCAGCAAGTGCACCTGGAAGAAGGGCTGTAGCAGCTGTGAAAGGAGATGGCGGTTGGCCCCGTCTGCTCCGTCCTTTAGCTTCTGCACTAGGAGGTGGGGACAGGTGGGGAAAGAGTCACATGGGCGTTAGGGGAAGGAGAATACAGAAGGGGAAGAAAAGGGAGCAAGCAGCAGCAGCAGAGCAGCAGGGCGAAGAGGGGGGAAGGCGAAGCAGCAATTGCAGCAGGCATTGAGAAGGGAGGGTGTGAGTGACCTGCAGGCGGTCATACAGCTTGCTGATGCCCTCCTTGTGCCGCTCCGCCTGGCGGCCATGGTGGGTGTGGTAGAGGAGGTGGGGAGCATGGGGTGCGGTGCAGGGAGGTGGAGCGAGAAGTGAGGACGCAAGCTTGCACACCAGTAAGGATGGCTACATCAGTGACTTGCGTTTCAGGATGGCAGCATGCAAGTAGAACAAGAGATTATCGCAGCAAGTGGCTTTACGCCCTATGCTAAATCACAAGAATAGACAGGTCTGCTGCACATTCATATCTGGTTTGAATAACTTCCCTGCGATTGTTGCACCAGATAGAAATTAGACAAACCTCGCAAACAAGGTTAAAAAAAAACCATTTTCGTAAAACACGGTCCGTTTTTTACGGCGATTTCCCAAAACAGGGCTGTTTTTTGTTAGAGAACTCTGTTCACTCCAAGAGGGGAAAAAAAAGGTCAATTACTTTTTTTAATAATGCCAACAACCGCACACATGCAAGAAGAGGTCCGTCCCCTTCATCCTGCTGAATTTCGGGTTCAATTTGGTCCCATGAAGTGGCAGTTTTGTCAGATAAACAGAAAACGCCTCCTGGAATCGTTTTAAACCATTTCAAAGAACCATTTTTCATGATACTGTCTCCTACAGTAAACGAAAAAAAAAAAAAAAAAAACGGCCGCTTTTTTAACCGTGCTCGCAAAAATCTTGGTACAAAAAAAAAAAGTTATCATTTTAGAGCTCATATTCTTTTGTAAAGGCTCAGGTAGTCACAGGGAGCGAGGAGGGCACATGGGACGGGATGAGGCAAAGGGGGGCACGGTGAGGAGGCGGGAAGTGGGGCGGAGTGGGGTGGGGTGGGGCAGGGTGGGGAGGGGTGGGGAGGGGTGGGGAGGGGTGGGTGGGGTCCGGGATGGGATGGGGTGCATACCTTGGCGAGCAGGGCAGCACTGGTGATGGGGTAGGTGGCCCAGAAGTGTGACAGCAGCTCCTTCACTGCCTCTCCGTGCTGCGCCATGGGGGCATGGGGTGGGGGTGGGGGGCACGGGGTGGGGGCCATGGGGTTATGGGGTGATGATAGATTGGCAAGCAAGCACGGAGCATGGATAGTTGCAGAGGATCATCACAAAACATGTCATGCCAAGCCACATGCGCACCGCTTCCCATTAACACCTTGCTCGCTACACCCTGCCCCCCTCTGCCCTGCATCCCCCATGCTCTGTGTGCCATGGAATGGGGTGGCGGCATGAAGAAGCAATGTGGCACCCACTGCTAGCAGCAACGACCGCCCACACGAATGGTGGGGGCATGAGGGGGCAACAAGGTACCCACGGCGAGCAGGGCGGAGCGCAGGGCGTCAGGCAGCTGCTTCAGGAGTGACTGTTCCGCTGCCTCCCCCACTCCCCGCCTTGCCACCGCCACCTGCCGCCCAAACTCCTCCACCTCCTGCCGCCCGGTGAAGAGGTGGGTGGGTGGGTTGTCGCAGCGAGTGTTGGACATGAGTTGGAGTCGGATGGGAGGGGGGGGTGGGAACAGGTGGGGTGGGGGAGGCGGGAGGCTTGCCAAGAGCAGTGAGCAATGGACATGAGTTGGTGGTGATGGTGTGAGGGCACGTTGACAGTTGACTTGATATTCTCCGCTCAGCCACTCACATGAGCAGCAGCAGCAGGCGCCATCACAGTCGCGCCTCCCTTGCCTCCACCACCACGTCCCCCCTGCCCCCTGCTGCCTCCCCCCGCCCCTGCTGCCGCTGCCAGCTCACTCCGAAACGCTGCCAGCGAGTCTGCCAACGTGGCATGTGCGCCAGCTGGCGTTGAGTCAGAGGCAGAGGTGGGGGCAGGGCTGTCCAGATCCATTGCATCTGGCGCTCGCGGTCCGGGTGGCTGCTGCTGTGCTGTGTCCCTCTGTGTGGCGGCATCAAAGTACTTGCGTGGGTCCTGCCGTGTGAAGGGTGGATTAGAGGGGGGTACAGATGGGTGGGGTGGGGAGCGGTGGATGAACGAAGGGAGGTGTGTAAGTGCAGACGTGAGTGCAAAGGTTGAATATGTTAACAAAACCAGGAAGGAGGAAGGTGGAGGCAGTGGTGAGAGCGAGGGAAGCTGAGAGTGAGTGAGCACAAGAGTGAGCGAGAGTGAGTGGTGAGCCGATGGCACATGCGTGCGCCACGTGGCACGTGCCACATGCCCCCCATCAGACATGCCACATGCCCCCCATCAGACATGCCACATGCCCCCCATCAGACATGCCACATGCCCCCATCAGACATGCCACATGCCCCCCATCAGACATGCCACATGCCCCCATCAGACATGCCACATGCCCCCCATCAGACATGCCACATGCCCCCATCAGACATGCCACATGCCCCCATCAGACATGCCACATGCCCCCATCAGACATGCCACATGCCCCCATCAGACATGCCACATGCCCCCCATCAGACATGCCACATGCCCCCCATCAGACATGCCACATGCCCCCCATCAGACATGCCACATGCCCCCCATCAGACATGCCACATGCCCCCCATCAGACATGCCACATGCCCCCATCAGACATGCCACATGCCCCCATCAGACATGCCACATGCCCCCATCAGACATGCCAAATCACACATGCAGCGTGCCACTTGCGTGCTCCACCCCACGTGCCTGGATGGTGAGCGGGATGGTGGTGGGTGGGGCGTCCCCTTGCAGGTCCGCCATCACTGCCATCTCGCGCGCCCTCTCCCTCCGCCACTCCTCCGCCCCCTGCCGCTCCCCTCCCGTGCCTGCCAGTAGGGGGGAAGGGGGTAAGATGGGAGGGTTTGTCATAAAGAGGGAGGACGGGACGTGTGAGGAAGCAGGGAAGTTGGATGAGGGAGTTGGATGAGGGAGTTGGATGAGGGAGTTGGATGAGGGAGCAGGTGTGAAGGAGCAGGTGTGAAGAAGTGGGGACGCTGGTGGCTTTCCAAAAAAATAACTTGGAAGTGAAGTCATACAAAGTGACTTGCTTGCTGCATTGCGTGCAGTGCACCATAGCATGCCATTCATTCCACCTCATGTGCCACTGCAGCACAGCTTCGCCACACCCCACTGTGCACTCACCTGACCTTTCCTCCACCTCATACCTCCATGCTTTCCTTCCCACACCACCACACCACGCCACACCACTCTGTTTATTTTTCAGCAACTCATTTCCCTTCCAATCCTTCATCTCTCTTTCGCCCTCTTCATCCCTCATGTCACACCAGCCTCCCCCACCTGCCTCCCCCACCCGCCCTCCCCCCAGTGCGAGTGGGTGTAGAGTGGGCGAACACCCTAATTGGGGTGTTCTCCTAGCTTAGAATTGGTCCCATCCGTGTTGGTCAAGTGGGGTGTCCAACCATCATTGCTCCATCTGGGGGGGGCACCCAACTTTGGTGGGTTGCCCATGATAGGAAAGACGCGTCCTGCGTCCTGGACGAATGCGTCCAGACGAATGCGTCCAGACGCAGGACGCAGAACCTGGACCTAAAAGACGCACCAGAAGACGCAAGCCTGGGCAGGGCAAAAAAAAACCCCCGGGCAGGCCAAAAAAAATGTATAGGGCTTGAGAGAGGGGGGGGGGGGACATACCACACTTTTCAATGCAAATTTTTCCCCAACCTCAATTTTTCCCCCCAAAATTTAAGATTAAGGTGAGTCACGCGTCACACATTTCACAAGGTCTCACACACATTAAGTTTAATCCAACCATTTACGACCATCCGTATTAAACTACCACTGCACTGCATCAAGTCAACCATGAAGCCATGACGGAGTTTAGGTAGTAAGCTAAACTAAAACCTCAAAGGGTTTACGAAAGAGAATTGGTTGGGTGGGGAAAATGAGAAACCAACCCTAGTTGCATTGCTAAATGTGCTTGGTGGTGGTGGTGGGCCACAAAGGTTGGGTTTCGTAGATGTGAAGTGGTTGAGAGGTTTGAGTGAAATCCATTTTGCATGAGTTGTTATGAAATGCTGGGGGGGCTGGTTTACAATGGCAAATTGGGTTGGGGGGTCGAAATTTCGCGATTTCGACTTTCGCGCCGAAATCGCGAATGTCAAAATCGCGATCGAAAAAAAAAAAAAATCAGGCTGCCCGAAAAAAATTTCGCCGTGCGTCCTGCGTCTGGACGCGCGTCCTGCGTCCTAGCGTCCGGACGCTGCGTCCAGACGCAGGACGCAGCGTCCTGGTTGCGTCTTTCCTATCATAGTTGCCCACCACGCCACGAGGGTTGATTCGTTGGGTGCTCTTCCCTCCCATTAGGCCACTTGGATTCGTGTTCTTCTCCTACCAACCTCTTGCTTTTAGAACCTTGTGCACTTTTGAGCTAATGCATCTTTTTCTAACTGTCTTTTAGCACAACTTGGATTCCTTCACTTCCACTTAAGCCCTCCCCCCTGCGCCCTCCCCCCTAACCCCCTGTCCCCCAACCCACCAGCGATGAGGGCGGTGGCCTCGGCGACGGCAGTGGCGAGCTCCCTGGTGTCCGCCACGTCCTCCTCTGCGCTCCCACGCACACGCACATGCGGCCAGGGTGGGCATGGCAGGCGGGTGGATAGGCATGGGAAAGGAGGAACAGGGGCTGAGGGTGATTGCAGTGGCGAGCTCCCCTGGTGTCTGTCCGCCATGCTATGTTGGAAAAGTCGCCAGAAACCATAAGCGCACACCGTATAGTCGTTTACGAATATACGGTGTACGCAATTCGTACATATATTCGCAGGGAAATGTTCGGGCTGACCGGAAAAAAAAAAACAGATTTCAATAGTCGCGCACGAATTGCGAATGTGCGACGCGACTCAAAATGTACGCACGTCCCAACCCAATTTGTACGCACGTCCCAAACACATTGTCACCCACACCTGTCAAAATTTGGGGACGTGGGAAAATTGGAACTGCATTGCACCCTATGCTATCGCGCGACTCCAACACACAAACACGAATGTCGTCAACCAGCGTAGGTGGTTCAACCACATCCTGGACTATAAGGTAAGCTCATTCCCGTCATCTGTAGTATCTCTCTCCTCATTCATTCTCTCTCAACACTCCCGCTCAGCTCCACTTGATGTCGACTCCTACTGGTACTCCCGCGAGTGCCACTAGTGAGGCTCCTAGTGTTTTGAATGACGCGACCATGGCGGACGACGGGGATGTTCCTGTGAACACCCATGTTATTTTTAAGCATTTCATTACCTCTACCGAAGGGTCCTCGAATGGTCCTGAGCGTACTGTCCGCATATGCCGGTACTGCAAGCTTAAGTTCGTAGGCGGCGCCTTCCGTTGTGCGCAACACATCACGCGCTGGAAAGGGCTGAAACGGAAGGACGTCCGTCTTTGCAAGGCGCCTATCCCTGCTGCTGACCGCGGCGCGGTCCGCGAATTGTACGAAGGCAAACACGCCCGCAGGGAAGGGAAGAAGAAGGCGGAGGAGATGGCGATCGAGGCGTGTGCGTGTGCGGGTGGATCGAAGAAGCAGTGCATCGAAGACTTCTACGGGGAAGGGGCGTCGTGTGCGAAGGACTCGGCAGACGACGCCATCTGCCTCATGTGGGCGGCACTTCACCTCCCGGAGCATATCGCCGATCACCCTCTTTGGCGCAACGCTGTGCGCTGCATCACGGACGCGGGCCATGGCTACGTTCCGCCGAAGCGGCGGTATGTTGGTGGCGCCGGCCTTGCGCGCTGCCGCGGAAAGATCGAGAAGGGCCTCGCTCCCATCACTGCGAGCTGGAAGCGGGATGGCGTGACGATAGGTTCGGACATGACGACGGACAAAAGTGGCCGTCCCCAAGCCAACATCCTGCTCATCAACGATTCCGGTGCTGTGTTTGCCGAAAGCATCGACTGTAAGTTGGAGACGAAGACGGGAGGTTACATTGCATCGGTTTTGCGCCCGATCATTGAGAAGGTGGGGCCCGCCAACATAGTTGCCTTCTGCATGGATGGGGGCAGCAATTATGCGGCTGCATGTAGGGAACTCATGCTAGAATATCCTCACATTGAGCATGTGCCGTGCGCTACTTACGTCATGGATCTGCTCATGGAGGACATTGGGAAAATGGATTGGGCGAAGGACATTGTGGCTAAGGCGGGGGTGATTATTACCTTTGTGCGTGCCCACCATTTCACCAAAGGTTACATGAGATCCCCGCAGGTGAATGGAGGGAAGGGGAAGCAGGTGCTGAAGCCGGCGGGCACCAGATTTGGCACGCAATTCATCGCGGTGCAGCGGCTTTGCGAGGTGCGGAATGCATTGACGCAGATGGTGCTGAGCCCGGAGTGGCGGGATTGGGCGAAGGGGAGGAAGCCGCCGGTCGAGCCCTTCGAAGCCATGATCATGGATGCCGTGTGGTGGAAAGGGACGGAGTTCTTTGTCGCCCTCCTGAAGATCCCCTTTGTCGTCATGCGCAAGACCGACTCGACGGCCACGGGCATGATGGGCAAGATTTATGATCTGATGCTCCAGCTCACGGAAGACATCAATGCGAAGCTGGAGGAGGAGGAGGCGGGCTTGGTGCTGTCCAGCACGGAACGCACGGAGGTGACCAACATCGTCCAAAAGCGCTGGGACCATAGCATGGCGTGTGCCATGCACATGGTTGGCCGGATCCTCAATCCGGTCAACCAAGAGGAAGGCATCTTCCGGACTGACCTGGAGTGTACGCGCGTCTTCAAGGCTTTCGTCGCTCGTCACTTCGGGGGGCAGACCGTCACGCGCAAGGAGGGCGAGGAGCTGCGTGCATCCCACGTCATCCAGGACGGCCTGACGGCATTCAACACCCTTCAGGGGAGCTTCCGCCTACCCGACGCCATCTCTGACCGTGAGCTCGTGAAGGCCGGTAAGAAGACGGCCGTCCAGTGGTGGACGTGGCACGGGACGGACCACCCCGAGCTGACAACGCTCGCCTGCCGCGTTCTCTCTCAGCCAGTGTCCGCATCGGCGTGTGAGAGGAACTGGGCAGTGTGGGAATCGATCCACACTGCCAAGCGCAACAGGTTGGGGTCCGAGAAGTGTCGGGACCTCGTGTATGTTGCGCAAAATTGGAACATTGTGCGCAACTGGCACAAGGGGCCTGAGGGGGTGACGGTTCTCCCGGGGAACATCCCTGAGCCCCCCTTGCTGGAAGGGTACAAGGAGGTTCTGGAGGAGGATGAGCTGGAGGATGAGTACAAGTAGAGGAGGAAGGAAGGGACGGGGGGAGTAGAGGGTGGGAGTAGGGGGTGGGGTAGAGTAGTGTAGCATGGGCGGATGGTGGTTGGGGGGGAGGGGGGGGGGGGGGGGGGGAGGAGATGTAGACTTTTAGTGTTAGTAGTAGTTCTTCTGCATGTGTTAGTTGTGAATGTCAGGTTTTTTCAATATATAAAATTCAGGAAAACCCAAACAAAAAACGTATGGTACAACCACCCCTCCCCTCCCCCCCCCCCCCCCCCCGAGGTTTTTTTCGTCTGCCTGGTAAAAACTTTTTGCTGCCCGGGCAGCGTACTTTTTGCGACTTTCAAAGTCAATCACTCAGCGCATAACGTACTATACGCAAGCGTATATACGCTTGCGTATAATGCGCTGGGTGCAACTTTTCCAACATAGCCGCCATGTCCTCATCTGCCCGCGCACGTAAGGGGGGGCGGGTGGGGGGCCAGGGGAAAGACGACAGAAGGAGGGTGAGGGTGAACAGTAGTGGCGAGCTCCCTGGTGTCCGCCACGTCCTCTGCTCGCGCACCACCAATGGGAGGTGGGTATGGGGCATGCATGAGACGCACATGGAGCAGGGTGGGCATGGAATGGAATGAAAGATGGCATTACAGGCATGAGGGGCTATGAGGGACGCCAGGGAGGAGAGGAGGGCGAGGGTGAGTGGCAGGTGAGCGAGACAGGGAAGAGCAGAGCAGCAGTGCAGGGCGGCAGGGAGGTCAGCTCAGGTGTGCTGTGGCCCGCCGAGCAGGAAGCAAGTAAGAGGGGGCAATCGGCGTCAGTGGCGGCAGTGAGTGTGCTGATCCTGCATAGCGGGCAGGCGGGGCACTCACGGAGCAGGCGGGGCACTCACGGAGCAGGCGGGGCACTCACGGAGCAGGCGGGGCACTCACGGAGCAGGCGGGGCACTCACGGAGCAGGCGGGGCACTCACGGAGCAGGCGGGGCACTCACGGGGCAGGCGGGGCACTCACGGAGCAGGCGGGGCACTCACGGAGCAGGCGGGGCACTCACGGAGCAGGCGGGGCACTCACGGAGCAGGCGGGGCACTCACGGAGCAGGCGGGGCACTCACGGAGCAGGCGGGGCACTCACGGAGCAGGCGGGGCACTCACGGAGCAGGCGGGGCACTCACGGAGCAGGCGGGGCACTCACGGAGCAGGCGGGGCACTCACGGAGCAGGCGGGGCACTCACGGAGCAGGCGGGGCACTCACGGAGCAGGCGGGGCACTCACGGAGCAGGCGGGGCACTCACGGAGCAGGCGGCCCTGCAGCACGACAGCAGCGTGCTGGTTGATGTCGCGGAATATCGTGCGCCTCATGCGCACCTGCCCCCCCGCCCCCGCACCGCTACTGCCTGCAGCAGCCGCACCACCAGCGCTGCCACTCCTGCTCAACTGCCCACCCCCGCCTGTACCCTCCTGCCCTGCTGCGCCCTCCTTCTCGCCCTCCCCCTCCCCCTCGCCCTCCACAGCGGGTGACTCCTTGCGGCCATCCCTGAGAATGCCGTGGCCCTGATCATACCATGCACAGAGGCTCAGCAGACGGCAGAGGGTGTGCGGCACAGGGGTGAGGCACAGGGGTGAGGCACAGGGGATATGAGAGGTATAGAAAAGCGAGAGCACCGCAACCAAGCGAGCAAGGAACCCCAGTGAGCACCACAAAGCCCCGCACAGCCTTTCAGCCCCTCGCACGCATCCACCCACCGACCCCACCCCCCTCCCCAAGCTGGCGGGCACGGGGCCACTGGAAGGCAAGGCAGGCAGGCAAGAGGGCACGGGGGCATGGAGAGGCGAAGACGCACGAGGAGGGAGGAGTAGTCGTCGCTGACGTCCGCCAGCACGTTGAGCGTTGGGTCCACACGCTGCACCTGATGGGGGGATGAGGACAGGAGTACCTTCAGCCATTTCATTAAGCGAGCAGCAGTCTAAAAGACCGAGGCAAACTAGTTTCGGTGGACGGGACAGGCCCCAATCACACCTTCATCAGTGCAAGTGGAAATGAAAGAGAATGAGGAAGACGAAGCGTTTAGGCAAACACTACGCCCCGGAAAACAAATATCCAGGTTGACGCAACCGTGGCCGAAAATCTGGTTGACGACCTAGAAAAGTCCAAGTCTTCAGGGTCTTCATTCCTCGTGGCATAGCGTTGAAGTAACACAGTTCGCCAGCTGGTGCTCAGGCAGCCTCACGCGCACCAGTAACCGTTGTAAGGTACAAACGGTTTTCCAAGCAACAAAACAACCCTCTATAAAAAATCCGCGTAGTAGACAACTTTTGAGACATCTCAAAACGACCCCCAGCCCGAGACGAGCCGACACAGGTGTGTAGCGTGTCTTGAGAACTAGGGGTCGGCAGTCAGAGGGAGGGGAGTTTTGTGGAAGGAGTTGGTTGGCGAAGAGTGCCGCACGGTGTGCCAAGATGACGCTGCTCAAGATCGGTCGCAGAAAAGCAGGTGGGTAGCCCCAGTCACGAAGCCGCTGGAAGAAAGCGAGTTTCGTCGTTCAGAAGGTCGTCGCGTTGCTGATGTTGAATGCTGCAACGTTGCAGGTCGGCACAAATGAATCCCTCCTTACAGTGCCGGGGGTGAAACGAGGAGAAGGGTAGGAGAATGAGGAGATTTCGGTACATTCTAAATCTGCCCGCGTACCTGGCCAGAGAATGAGGCCATCGTGAATGTATCGGACGTGGTAACTTGGTGCCACCCCAGTCCACCTATCCCTCAGCAGCTCATCAAGGCGGCTCATGAAGAGTATGGCAAAACAGACAGCTACAGGAGTTCCCATCGCCGTGCCTCACACTTGGTGATACACTCGGCCGTCAAACTCAACGAATGAGTTTCTCATGACCCACCCCAGCAGGGCCATAAGTGGAGAAGAGAGCTGTGTCTGGTCCCTCATCAGAAAGCTACTAACTGCATCAAGTCCTCGGTCCATGGAAATGCTAGGATAGAGCGAGGTAACATTGTACGTAGCCAGAAGAATTTTGGGCGAGAAGGCCGTTGATTCTAGCTTCGTCAGTAGCGAGAGGGAGTCGCGTAGGTAGGTAGCGCGTTTCAGTAGTAGCGGTCTTAGTTGCGAATCTAACCATCTGCTCACATTCGTAGTAACCCAGGAGTGTGAAGCGGCGATCGGACGCCCCACGGGCACTTTCTTATGGAGCTTAGGTAAGATAAAGAATGCCGCTGGGCGCCATCCACCAGGCGGTTTATCAAAAAAATACTTCCACAAACTGTCAAGAAGAGCAGGTCCCCACGTCGCTTTCAGCTCACTCGGCTGCTGTAGAACACACGGAGTCGGGTCGTGATGGATCGGACCGGACAGGAAGGTGGCGGGCTGGAAGGCTAGCGGGCAGGAAAGCTATCGGGAGAGGAGGCAAGGCACCTTTTGGCGGGCTTGGGCGTGCAGGTGAGGGTCGTCGCGCACGAAGAGAGCCAGCTCGTCATCGTCCGCTGCCTCCGCTTCCGCTGCCGCCACGTTGCGCGTCCGAAAGAGGTACTCCGCCCTGTAGTACTTGCCCCAGAAGGCCTTCTCCGTCATCTTCAGGGTGGGGAAGGTGGGGGGTGAAGGGGGATGAGGAGAGGAGGGGGAGAGTGGGAGATGTGATGTGACAGCTTGCATGGAGTAGGAACTGCACGCGGTAATGCTTGCCCCATATCGCCTCTCCGGACATCTGAGGGAGGGAGGTAGTGAGGGGGCAAGGAAAGGGGAGCAAGAGTTGCGTGAGAAGAGAGGGAGGGGATGACTGGGAGACTTGATGGCTTGCATGGAAGTGGTAAGGCAGAGAGAAGTAAGGGCAAGATGACAAGCATATGCGAGTCACAGAATCATGAGTCACTAAAAGACAGAAACTAACACGCTGCTTCTTCCCTCCCAGCCAACCACCCTCCCCCGCTCCCTGGGTGCCCGGCAGCCAGCACCCACCCGTGCGGGCACGAGGTCCATGAAGGCGCGGTGCACCGCTGGCTTCTCCAGAAAGATCTGCGCCAACCAGTGCGGGTGGGGGTGGGGAAGGGGGAAGGGGGAAGGGGGAAGGGGGAAGGGGGAAGGGGGAAGGGGGAAGGGGGAAGATGCCAGTGGGGAAAGCGCATAGACGGTGCACCAGCTGTGAGTGGCGAGATGCGTGGTTCAACACGCGAGATGCGTGGTTCAACACGCTAGGATAGATGCGAGTGGACATTGGAATTGGCGTGGCGGCATGCACAGTGGGGCCGACGCATGAGAATGAATGATGGCAGCAAGTAGCCCGGCAACGAGCTGGGAGAGTAGAAGAGAAGAGAAGAGAGGCCAAATGTTGAGGGAGGGTGTGCGATGCGATGCGATGAGGGCGCTGGACGGCACGAGTGGCCACCTGTTGGATGATCTGCGGCGTAAGGTTGAACGTGATGGTGTTGCTCTGTGGTGGAGGGATACGTGCACATGCAATGCACACACACAGCGCACAGCAAACATAGACAAACGAGCACGTGAGGAGCAGGTGAGTTGTGGCCCATGGAGCTGACGCATGGGTGCAGGATGGCTAGTCCGCACTTGATCCAGCGCCAGTGACCTCATGCTCTCATCTCGCTGGGCGCCACAGGACGCCACACCCACCCACATCTATCACACAGGACGCCACACCCACCCACATCTATCACACAGGACGCCACACCCACCCACATCTATCACACAGGACGCCACACCCACCCACATCTATCACACAGGACGCCACACCCACCCACATCTATCACACAGGACGCCACACCCACCCACATCTATCACACAGGACGCCACACCCACCCACATCTATCACACAGGACGCCACACCCACCCACATCTATCACACAGGACGCCACACCCACCCACATCTATCACACAGGACGCCACACCCACCCACATCTATCACACAGGACGCCACACCCACCCACATCTATCACACAGGACGCCACACCCACCCACATCTATCACACAGGACGCCACACCCACCCACATCTATCACACAGGACGCCACACCCACCCACATCTATCACACAGGACGCCACACCCACCCACATCTATCACACAGGACGCCACAGAGAAGGCTGCCATGCTGAACCCCCCCTCCGTTCCTGCTCCAGTGAAACCCTACCTACCTACCATAACCCTGCAGTCTGCCACCCACCCTGCTGTCCACCACCCACCCTGCAGTCTGCCACCCACCCTGCAGTCTGCCACCCACCCTGCAGTCTGCCACCCACCCTGCAGTCTGCCACCCACCCTGCAGTCTGCCACCCACCCTGCAGTCTGCCACCCACCCTGCCGTCTGCCACCCACCCGGCCGTCCGTCACCCACCCGGCCGTCCGTCACCCACCCGGCCATCGGTGACGCCTCGGACGTCTGCCAGCATGGCACTCGCCACGCCCACCCGCTGCTTGCGCTTCCTCCGCTCCTCCTCCACGCCATGCCATGCCATGCCACGCCATGCCATGCCATGCATGGCACACCGTGGGGAGTTGGCAAGATGGGTTGGCCGGATGGGCCGGCCGGATGCAGTGGTGGTGATTGGACGGCACACGTTCAAGGAGGACAGAGGGATGAGGCGAGGGCAAGAGTGAGAGGCAAGGGGTGGGCAGGCGTATCAAGAAGGGTAGGAAACGAGGGTGGAATGCTGGTAGTGGAAAGGGTGGGAGATTGATTGTGTTTGGGGAGTCACGTCACTGGAGTTCTATGTGCAGCACCAATCAATCTCCCACCCATTCCACAGCGTATCAAGAATATGCCCTCTCCACCTCAGATCGACCCTGGCAGTCCTCGCCACAAACCAGTCACTGTGGAATGGTGACAGTGACGTGACTTCCCACACACAATCAATCTCCCACCCTTTCATGACAATCGCCCACAAGCCATGCACCCCACCTTCCTGCCGGCCCACCCACCCACCTTCCTGGCGGCCCAGAACTCGGACTCGGTGAGCGCACCCGTCATGACCAGCTCCTGATGCAGCCGCCTCAACTTGCTGTGTGCGCCGTGCAGCACAGTGCATGGAGGGTAAACAGCATGGAGGGTAAACAGCATGGAGGGTAAACAGCATGGACAGGAAACGGTATCAACCTTGGAAATAGCATGGTCGGATGGGAAGGCACCTGCACCGCATGTACATGCGTGCCTTCATGTGTGCGTGCAGTGCACACACAGACATGCAAACGCATACACACAGACATGCGCACGCATACAAACAAACATGCACATCCACACGCAGAGTGAGTAAGGCATTCCGTGTGCCGGTAGTGTGTTTAAACAACCAACCAAGTCTCGCTCGTCTCGCTCTTCCCCCATTCACTGCATTCACTCCCCCCCATGCACCCCTGCGCTTCCCTCTCCCCCCCATGCACCCCTGCGCTTCCCTCTCCCCCCCATGCACCCCTGCGCTTCCCTCTCCCCCCCATGCACCCCTGCGCTTCCCTCTCCCCCCCATGCACCCCTGCGCTTCCCTCTCCCCCCCATGCACCCCTGCGCTTCCCTCTCCCCCCCATGCACCCCTGCGCTTCCCTCTCCCCCCCATGCACCCCTGCACTTCCCTCTCCCCCCCATGCACCCCTGCGCTTCCCTCTCCCCCCCATGCACCCCTGCGCTTCCCTCTCCCCCCCATGCACCCCTGCGCTTCCCTCTCCCCCCCATGCACCCCTGCACTTCCCTCTCCCCTCCCTAACACGCACGCGTCGGACTGCAGCAGCTTCTGTCGTCGCTGCAGCTCTGCCGGGTCCAGCAGCTCGATTGCCAATGCACCAGGCAGCCCGGGCGGCAGACCAGGCGGCAAACCGGGCGGCATACCATGTACAGGCCCGGCGCTCGCCCCACTAGCTGCTGCTGCTGCTGCAGCGGCAGCAGCTGCAGAAGCAGCGGCAGCGGCAGCGGCAGCAGCGTGGGCAGGGGGGAGGAGTGGTGACGCGGAGCCGGAGGGAGCGGTGGGTGGAGGAGTGGATGGCGTGGGGGCGGAGGGTGCTGCTGACGTGCTCTGGAACTTGGCCTGGTAGGCACCTGCCGTGATGCAAAAGGGATGGTGAGGCAGGGTAAGTCACAACAGGTGGCGCAGCTATGGAACCGACGGATGGAGCGAATGGCGTCCATGCACAGAACGCTTGCCTTGCAGTACACCAAAACCGCTTGGACAACCCGGTGATACATTGCTTGAACAACCCGGTGATACGTTGCTTGGACAACCCGGTGATACGTTGCTTGGACAACCCGGTGATACGTTGCTTGGAAAACCCGGTGATACGTTGCTTGGGCAACCCGGTGATACGTTGCTTGAACCCTCCCTTCCTCTCGTCCCAGGGTGACATTCTGTGATGCCGCAGATTACAGCCCTGTCCTGTGATCACGCATTCAAGCCTGCAACTGCACACACCCACTCGAGCAGCTAGACCCAACCGTCCCCTCTCTACAGCTTGTGCTGACGTTTTGACCGCCTCATCCTCATATGTGTGTGTGTGTGTGTGTGTGTGTGTGTGTGTGTGTGTGTGTGTGTGTGTGTGTGTGTGTGTGTGTGTGTGTGTGTGTGTGTGTGTGTGTGTGTCTGTGTGTGTGTGTGTGTGTGTGTGTCTGTGTGTGTGTGTGTGTGTGTGTGTGCGCGCGTGTGTGCGCGCGTGCGCGCGCGCGCGCGCGTGTGTGTGTGTGTGTGTGTGCGTGTGTGCGTGTGCGTGTGTGTGTGTGTGTGTCCCATGTGTGCCACGATGGTCTTCCTTGCCCCATCCTCATGTGTGCAAGCTGTGGGCAGTGGGCACGAGGTGGATCAGGTGGGCACGAGGTGGATCAGGTGGGCACCAGGTGGATCAGGTGGGCACGAGGTGGATCAGGTGGGCACCAGGTGGATCAGGTGGGCACCAGGTGGATCAGGTGGGCACCAGGTGGATCAGGTGGGCACCAGGTGGATCAGGTGGGCACCAGGTGGATCAGGTGCTCTCTTGCCTCGTCTGTGATGCACGCAGGCAGTTCAGGAGGGCGGCTTGGGTTGTCCGCCCGTCAGCTTGTACTGGCTCGGAAACAGCCGGCTCGACTTAGACCTATGCTAACATGTAACGAATGCTATCCTGACGTGGAGAGCACAGCAGAGGTAGAGACGAGGTGAGAGAAGAAGGCGAGGGGAATTGGTGGAGTGGGGCATGCGGCGGGATAGCCATTTTAGGGCAGTGGTCACTTACTGTACACATCTCTGGCCTTGTCGCGATCAGCGAATGAGGAGAAGACAAACATGTAGCCACCCTCTGCCTGCACGACACACATGACACACACACACATGTGCGGAAAGTGTAAGAGCACAGTGCAAAGGCGAGGTTAGGTAGTGGGAGAGGAGAGGCATGGCATGCAACGACACTCGGCACAGGCTTCCTCTCAGCATGGTCCATGCGACTCACAGCATGGTCCATGCGACTCACAGCATGGTCCATGCGACTCACAGCACGGTCCATGCGACTCACAGCATGGTCCATGCGACTCACAGCATGGTCCATGCGACTCACAGCATGGTCCATGCGACTCACAGCATGGTCCATGCGACTCACAGCATGGTCCATGCAACTCACAGCATGGTCCATGCGACTCACAGCATGGTCCATGCGACTCACAGCATGGTCCATGCGACTCACAGCATGGTCCATGCGACTCACAGCATGGTCCATGCGACTCACAGCATGGTCCATGCGACTCACAGCATGGTCCATGCGACTCACAGCATGGTCCATGCGACTCACAGCATGGTCCATGCGACTCACAGCATGGTCCATGCGACTCACAGCATGGTCCATGCGACTCACAGCATGGTCCATGCGACTCACAGCATGGTCCATGCGACTCACAGCATGGTCCATGCGACTCACAGCATGGTCCATGCGACTCACAGCATGGTCCATGCGACTCACAGCAGGGTCCATGCGACTCACAGCATGGTCCATGCGACTCACAGCATGGTCCATGCGACTCACAGCATGGTCCATGCGACTCACAGCATGGTCCATGCGACTCACAGCATGGTCCATGCGACTCACAGCATGGTCCATGCGACTCACAGCATGGTCCATGCGACTCACAGCATGGTCCATGCGACTCACAGCATGGTCCATGCGACTCACAGCATGGTCCATGCGACTCACAGCATGGTCCATGCGACTCTCAGCATGGTCCATGCGACTCTCAGCATGGTCCATGCGACTCTCAGCATGGTCCATGCGACTCTCAGCATGGTCCATGCGACTCACAGCATGGTCCATGCGACTCACAGCATGGTCCATGCGACTCACAGCATGGTCCATGCGACTCACAGCATGGTCCATGCGACTCTCAGCATGGTCCATGCGACTCTCAGCATGGTCCATGCGACTCTCAGCATGGTCCATGCGACTCTCAGCATGGTCCATGCGACTCACAGCCATGCGACTCACAGCATGGTTCATGCGACTCACAGGAATGCGAGGGTGTGATTTATGGGAGCGGATGCAGGTGTGACATGGGAGGAAGGGAAGGGATGAGCATGAGGACATGGTGGGGATGAGGGCGTGGGATGGGGTATGAGGGCGTGGGAGGGGGGATGCGGGGATGGGGAGGGGGCCAGCATGGTGGGGATGGGGGGCGTGTGAGGGCGTCAGGGAGTGGAGTGAGCGGGTGAAGGGGTAAGGGGTTGAGGGTGTGAGGGAGTTGGAAAGGGGACAAGGGAAGGGGGTGAGGGGGTAAGGGCACGAGGAGGTGAAGAGGTGAGGGGTGAAAGAGGAGAGTGTGAGGGAGTGAGGGGATGAGAGAGCAGGAGAGAGGGTGAGGGGGAGTGGCAGGGCACACGCACAGCAGGGTCGGCATGGGGGCTGAACTTGAGCAGCGCTGTTGTGGCTGTGGGTGTCTCCTTGCTCCACCTGTGCGCTGCTCACCCATGCATACCATGCCACGCCACGCCATTCAACATGCATGCCATCATGCAGTGCCATGCCATGCCGTGCCATGCCACACACACACACACACATGTGTGAGTGGGGACAGGAGCAATGGGAGAAGCTATGACACGAGTGCGGCAGAGCGAGGAGAACAAAGGCGGCCTGAGAGCGGAATGGCAGCAGGAGAAACAGCAGGCCGCACGTGTGGAGGGCGGTGAAGACAAGGCAAGGCAAGGAAACGCAAGGCAAGGCAAGGCGAGGCGAGGCAAGGCAAGGCGAGGCGAGGCGAGGCGAGGGCAACTCTCATGTATGTGCTCAGTGGATGCAAGCAAGACGCACGAGGCACAACAAGAGTCTCACACTTAATGCTGGCAAGTGGCACATCGAGTCTTGCTGCTGCTGATGGGTTGGCCGGCACCCAAGAAAAGGACGTGGGGGTCTGTGTGTATGTGAAAAGGGCAACAACACATGCACGCACACTCATCCATGCACACACAATCACATGCCCCACACACAAGCACATGGATGCACACACATGCATGGACACATCTCCATACACACACGTCCATGCACGTGCATGACAGATGCTCAAGGCCTGCACGCACAAGGGACAGCCCGCTGCCACGAGGCTCTGCTCCACGCTTCATTCATTTCCTGCTTCCTCACTTCATTGCTTCCCTGCTCTCTTTATCGCTTCCCTACTGTCCACGTCTGCCTGCCCCCAGCAGAGCTTCAGCTGCGCGCCATCGTGGACATGTCGGGTGCTGTCAGCAGCGCCACCACGGCGTGCCACTCCTGCTCGCGTTCTTTCTGCCTCTTGCAGCGCACCAACCGTTCCATCACGTCCAAGGCGAGTGGTGAAGGGGCGCACGGGGGGAAGTGCACAGCGCTACAGCGGTCGAACCATCGCACACGCGCACAGTACGATCAAGCCGTATCCAGTGCCGCGTACCATGCTGACCCCATCGCACCTCACCATGCTGACCCCATCGCACCTCACCATGCTGACCCCATCGCACCTCACCATGCTGACCCCATCGCACCTCACCATGCTGACCCCATCGCACCTCACCATGCTGACCCCATCGCACCTCACCATGCTGGCCCCATCGCACCTCACCATGCTGACCCCATCGCACCTCACCATGCTGGCCCCATCGCACCTCACCATGCTGACCCCATCGCACCTCACCATGCTGACCCCATCGCACCTCACCATGCTGACCCCATCGCACCTCACCATGCTGGCCCCATCGCACCTCACCATGCTGACCCCATCGCACCTCACCATGCTGGCCCCATCGAACCTCACCATGCTGGCCCCATCGCACCTCACCATGCTGGCCCCATCGAACCTCACCATGCTGGCCCCATCGCACCTCACCATGCTGACCCCATCGCACCTCACCATGCTGACCCCATCGCACCTCACCATGCTGACCCCATCGCACCTCACCATGCTGATCATGCCGTCTATCGCGGGGCCCTTGGCTGCTGGCTTGAGCTTCGCACGTGAAGACAACACCACCTCCATCGCAACCCAACTGCTGCTCTCGCCTTCTGTGGGTAGCGAAATGCACCCCCCAAGTCAGGTCAATAGAGTTGCGGGTTGGTATCAACTCGTTGACTAGGAAGCCACCTTCATCCAAGCGACTTGGGGCCCGCTGCACAGGTAGATTGCTCTCACATCACATGCACCCAGCTACACCTGTTCCTGCCACCCACACGTAAGAAAGAGGGGAGGGTTGGATTGAAGGGTTGTGGAGAGCATGGGAGATGCAGGCACTCACAAGTTGTAGCAGCAATGACATCGCTCTTCTCTCACGTCACTCACTCCCCGTTACCTTCGCTCCCCCCACCGTACCTCAGCTCACTTCCCCTCCCCTCCCCTCCCCTCCCCTCCCCTGCTGTCCTCCCCTCCCCTGCTGCCCTCCCCTGTCCTCCCCTGCCCTGTCCTGCCCTCCCCTCCTCCCCCCCCCCTCCTTGCTTTCTCCAGCCCTGTGCCCTAACCTGCCCAGTTCCCTGCCATCTCCTGCCCTCCCCTCCCCTGCCCTCCCTGCCCTTCCTATTCATCCCTTCCCCCTCCGTTCCTACCGGTCTCTTCCCAACCCATGGTCCTGCCTCGCCCCTTCCCGTCCCCGTCCCTCCCCTTCCCGTTCCTTTCCAATCCAAGCCCGTCCACTCTCGCTCTCCTGTCCGATCCATCGCTTCCCGTCCCCAACCGGCCCAACCCGTCCTGCTCCGCCCCATCCCCTCTCATCCCGTCCCGCCGTCCCGTCCCGGCTCCTCTCGTCGCGTCCCCTCCCGTCCAATCCCGTTTCATCGATTATCCCATTCTGTCCCCTTTCGTCCCTTCCCGTCTAGAGCAACTCCTTCCCGTCTCGTAAACTTCTCTCTGTCCCGTCCAACCCCTTCCCCGTTGCGTTCCGTCCCGTCGCTTCCCGTGCCGTTTCCTTTGTGCCCTAATGCATCACTTTCGCCGATTACACAGAATAGCTGTACTACGGATCGTGCGGATAGTAGCGATTCGCTAAATGCGTTACATTGTAAGTCCCTTGGACGACGCCGCCTCTTCTCGCTCGTCAGGTACTTCGTTCTCACGCGATTTTATTGAGCTCTTACCAGGAAACATGAGTCGTCTGGCCTCTAGGGAGCAACATATGACGACCTACCTTTCCTCTCTTCTATAGCTGAGGTAGCGGTTCCGCCCGTCTCATAGTTCGTCAGCTCCTGTTACACGTTTCTTTTGCTCAGCTCTTGCCTCTGCTCCCTCTCCTTGCTCTCTACTGTCTGGCCCCGCCCATGGCTCTTTCCTTAGGACGTGTCTCAAATGCACGAGTCCATGTGGTCCGACGCGGACCAGCTCGAGAACCAGCGACGGACCGGGTTGGGGGAGTTTCAACCCCGTTACAGAAATCGAATGGCACTACGGCGTGCCATTGATCTGGTCGGCAGAGCATCCAGTGGCTGGTCCAAAAACTGTAGCAGCTCCCACTTTCGTTTGCGAACTTCTCGCCATTTATAATTTTCGCGCTAGACGGGATGGAGAATTGGCCTGGCACAGAAATAAGGTAACTCGATTTCAGCATGTCTGATTTTCGTCGTTACTGTTGCAGCTCGCGAAATCTGTACAACCCGTGGCGCGATGTATCATGTGGACCAGTCCGTGTCTGGTCCACGCCTGGTCTGTGAAGTGGGTCAGTCGAACCATAATCCCGGACAAGGCATGCAGATTTTAGGACCGGTCTTCGACAGGTCCGCGAGTCCGCCCCGGACTGGTCCGCCACTGATATTATGCCTCCAGAAATACCCAGGATTGGTCCGACGGACCAGTGTGGACCAACCGAGCAAATCAGCTTCGAACTCATTGTTGTTGGGTCCGCATATGCAATCTACAGTAGCGTGTTGGCGAGCGTAGCTGTACATTTTCTAGAAAAACTGGGTTACCAGGACGCAAGACTGTACAGTACATTTGCGCATGCTGCCAAGTTTTGCGACTGAGCGAGGTGAGTTTGTGAGTGTTCGCCAACACTATGACTGTTCAGGGGTCCGACGTGGACCGGCTCGCCGAACCAGGGGATCCTTTCCATTATAATCACTTTCGCCCGCTAAAACGAGGGTGCTGGTTTGCTAACCCTCGGTCCACATTCGCTCAGGGAGCGGGTCCACGCTTGGGTCCGAAGTGGTTTGGTGGACTGGTCCCCATCGACCGCATAGAGCCAGGGTGGACCGAGGGATTTGAGACACCCTCTTAGCAACAGACTGGTCCGAGGCGGACCAGTCACATGAGACGCACTCTGTGGATGAGATCGTCCCACTTGAAACTCGTATTTCGTCAAAACCCTAAGAGCGTGTTACGTACCCCTTATTTTGGGGCCCGGTCGCGGTTGCCTCAAACATGCCGGTTGGGTCGAACGTAGCTGACTTCCCAAAAACTCCCCTGCGTTTCGACAAGTATGCAGCAGCGACTCAGGCGAGACTTGTGGGCGGCATTGAAGCATCGAAAAGCATCACGTCACCACGCTCTCCGTTAAGGCAGACCTCCTGGTGTCCCTGGAAAAACTCTCAGTCGCCGTCACATGCTTCCCCAACCTCACCCATCTCCATTTGGGCGACAGCAGCGTCAAGTCGCTCGACGACGCCTTCCTCGCTCACCTCGCGTCTTCATGCCCGCAACTGACGGCTCTCCACGTGGGAAGGAGCTGGCGTTTGCCTGATGAGCGTGGGTACCGGGTGAAGCATTATCGCTGGAAGGAGGAGCATCGGATCACTACCAACGACTTGGATCGGTTCTTTCACGAGCTCTTCAGATTGGAGCAGGTTACCCTCTTCTGCCTTCGCCCTGAAGTAGAGCTACCAGACTCCCTTTTTCGCTTGAAGCATCTGCACACCTTTCTTCTCACCAACCCCTCAGCCGTTGAACATCCCGGTTTCGCAAGCCTCACTGCCCTGACCACCGTGTACGTCACCTTCCCCTGGAACCACCACCACCTGGCCAGCCTCCTGCACCTCCCACGACTCACCCATCTGTTCACCTTAGTGCCTCATGAAAACCATCAGCCTGCGGGTGCTGCAAGCATGACTCTTCTACCCTGCCTGAAATCGCTCAATTTCATGCTGTCTTGTCCCGACCTTGACACCATCGTCCCATCAGCATCGCCTTGGTTCACCGGGCTGGAGGAGCTGCTCATCACCAACTGCAGCGAGCTAGAGACCCTTCCTGAGCCCATAGGACACCTGCTGCCGTGCCTTCGCAAGCTGACCATTCGCGAGTGCTACTATTTCGCTCACCTGCCTGAAAGCTTCACTGCTCTAAGCCATTTGGAGGAGCTCATTGTCTCCACGTGTGATGACTTCACCTTACCCTCCAACTTTGGCCACCTGCCTGCCCTCAGATTACTGGTGCTGGAAAGTTTGTCATTCACTGCATTCCCTCCTTCCTTCTGTCATCTTACATCTCTCGAGGCACTCTTTTTAGTTGAGTGCCACCCGCTTTTGAAGCTGCCCGCAGGATTCTGCCACTTGACTGCTCTCAAGGCGCTCTGTTTCTCAAGATCGGAGACCCTTGCCTTGCCAGAGGACCTTGGGGCCCTTGCATGGCTAGAGTCTCTCCAGTTGCATGAGTGCCAGCACCAGCCCCTTCCACGCTCCTTCACCGATCTCTCCTTCCTCACGAGCCTTGAGCTGAGCGCATGCTTTGGAGGAGAGCTGCCAGCCCTGGGCGAGCTGAGCAGGCTGCGGGAGCTGAAGATCGTTGATCTCCCCATCAGCACGCTCCCTGACTCACTCACACGGCTCACGAGCCTGCGGACCTTGGAGGTGGAGGGGCTGCCAGGCACTCCTCCAAGTGCCCCCTCGGCTGGATATGCTGGTGGGGCTGAAGAGGCTGGTGCTCACGGAGTGCGAGGAGCTGAGTAACCCCCCTGATGCTCTGCCACCCTCTCTTGAGACCCTTTTTTTGGGGCCCTTCGTGGAAGGTTCTTCCCATGTGGTGGATATATCTGGGTTGTGGCAGCTTAGGGTGCTGAAGCTGAACCGCGTTGGGGTGCGCTGCGGGCCTGCCGTGGGACCGATGGGGCAAGGAGGGCAGTGGGAGCAAGGGGGGCAGGGGCAGGAGGGGGAGCAGGGGAAGCAGGGGCAGCACGGGGAGCAGGGGCAGAAGGGGGAGCAGGGGCAGCAGGGGAAGCAGGGGCAGCAGGGGGGGCAGGGGCAGCAGGGGGGCAGGGGCAGCAGGGGGGGTAGGGGGGCAAGCTGGAGAAACTGGAGAAGCTGGAGATGCGGTTTGGAAGTGAGAGGCAGGAATTACCAATTTCCTTTACCTTTCTCCCTTGCCTGCACTGCTTGCTGATAGAGGCGCCTGGACTTTACAGCCTCCCAAAAAACATGGGGGCAGCATTGCCGCAGCTGCGGCAGCTGGAGCTTCTTTCTTGGTCACTGGAGAAGCTGCCAGGAAGCATAGTGGAGCTCCGCTCGCTAACGTCACTTACTGTTGAAGCACCTCAGCTGACGGCACTGCCTCAGGGGATGAGCGCCTTGTCTCGGCTGCGCAGACTGGAGCTGATTTTCTGCAACGCCTTGCAGCAACAGCCAGAGATTCTTCTCTCCCAGCTCGCCTGCCTGCAGCATCTGATACTCAATGACGCCCCAGGCACACCCCCGTACCTGTCAATTTTGTGCTGACGGATAAGCCATCACTCCGCTGGTTGCCTTGCCTTCACTCTCCTAGAAACTTTTCCAATGAGGTTGATTCAGCTGATAGTGAGCAAGAGTGTCGTGTAGGAAAGTTGGCTTTTCATATGGCACCGGTTTCATGGTGGTGGTATGGGGGGTGATTGATAAGAGACTAATCATGTACTATGGAAACGTGATTGCCTTGCAGTCAGGCCCTCAGAAGTCAGCGAAAAAAGGCTGATTAGGGGTAAAAAGCCTGTGATTTCAGCCGTTTAGGGAAACATGGGGCTGTTGTGGCAGCTTTTTTTTTGTGCGTATGACGTAATTTCAGTTTTTTTTTTCAACTCTCTGTGCTGAAATATCAGTTTTTTTCCTGTCATGTGCGTTGTCTCATCATACTTGTATCGAAGGGCTGGGCTGAAATCCCTGTAATGGAGATTCGCGTAGGTGCCCTGAATTCCGGATGTCTAGATACCCGTAAGACCCCGGATAGAAGCGCAGGCCTCGGATAAGCGCCGGCGCTTATAAAAGGATGAGGGCGCTTATATCCGGTCCTCGATTATAAGCGCACCCCCTAAAATTCGTGATTTATTATAAGCGCATGTCAATCTTTATTTGAAAATCAGTACCGTTATACAGAAACGAATTTCACCTTAGCAGGTAAACAAAGTACAATTTCGGTTTCCCGCTCACATCCCACTTTCTGCGCGTCTAGTCAGCACGTGCTGTCACTTAGTCAGCATGTGTTGGCAGGGAATCAATCCCTGCCAAGTTGCGCGAGAATCAGATTCGCGACCCCATATATTCTCGACTCGGTTACAATGGGCAAATTGAGATCTACAGTTTGGTGCCAAAAAAAAACCTAATTTCATTTTTGCCATTTTATAAACGCCGGCGCTTATAAATTTCCTCGATTATAAGCGCACCCCCTAAAAATAAGTGTTTTATTACAACCCCAGGGGCGCTTCTATCCGGGGTATGACGGCTGTTCGACCGTCCCTCCGTCAATCACGCCGAAATGGCAAGAATCCTTGCCAACGCATTCGGGAATGGCATCATTCCCGAAATTTCACGCCACTGCTGTCCGTGATTGGATGTTAGTGCAACCACATCAACCAGTGGCGAATGGAATGTCAACAGCGCGGCACCACGCACGCACGTTACAGCAGTACAGCAACACAAAATGGTTGCCGCGCGACTAGGAAACCCCCCCACCTCACCCACCCCGAAGCTGCAACCAGGTATATGCATGATTCCATGGGTCGCGTCGCCTTGCATCATGGCACGGTAAGCTTGCCAACCAATCCCGCTTCACCATCACCAGCTCCATAACCCCACGTAGCTGCTGGAATCCCCCGTCCCACACCCAACCTCGCTAGGGTTTCACTTCTTTCGCCTCTAGCACCAAGCAATTCTCGGCACGCTCTCTCAGTGCTCGGCACGCTCTCTCAGTGCTCGGCTCGCTCTCGTATCTGTTTCGCCATGGCTGGCCATGGCGCCGGCCTTTCAGACGACGAGGGTGACGCTGATTTAGACGACACCGATAGCGACGCCATCGAAGAAGCCCGTACGGGGCTAGATCTTCTGCTAAGATATTTAGGCCGCCAACTACCACCTCCAGCGCCCACTACACCCGGTCCGGTTCCTATAGTGGCGGAGAACCCGAACGTGCCTTCAAGCCCGGATTCTATCCGGGCCGTCCCTCCCGCGCCGCCTGGTGTTTCCGACACAATTCACATCGGCACGTCGGCGTCGAAGTCGTCAGCACCGCGCACGATCAAACTCAAGCAACAGAAGCTGAGTTTCTGGAAGCCATCATCCAGCGTCCCAGTCTCGGAAGTTGTTGTCAACGAAACCACCGCGCGCCCTTCTCTGGTCATCAACGTTCAGGAGATTGTTGATGCCATTTATGCTGAGGCACTGGATAAGTACAAAACTAAGTGGCTTGAGCGTTTCCCTTGGCTTGTACTTACTAAAACTGTTCGTGGTCTTCCTGCTTTCAAATGCAGTCTCTGCACTAAGCACGCCAGTGTCAGGGGACGTTGTGGCAGGACAGGCAAAGGTGCAACCGACGTCCAGACGCACGCGTTTCGCAAGCATGCAGGGACGAGAAAACACAAGCTGGTACTGGAGAAGCAAGAGGCCCTGCTTGCTGCCACGTCTAAACAGCCCCGCATCGATGAGCATCGTGCAGCGGTCGATGCAGAGAAGATTCGGGTCACGTCACTGCTTGACGCGCTTCTGTTTGCCAGCGACTGCGACGCACCCATGGGGACATGGGTGAAGCTGGTGCAGTATCTTGCCCGGAAAGGGGTTCAAGGTTTCCCTAAGAAAGGCTATGGGACGTACTATTCCACATCAGTAGTGATAACTGTTGCTGTTTACATTGTTTTACTTACAGACGCGGAGTCCCTAATAATGTATGCCATGTATTATGGCAGGTACGGCTACGGCGAATTGACGCAGTCAATGGCAACCTGGCTACAGGCGACCCAGCTGGAGCATATCCTCACAAGCCCCTTCATCGGCATCGCCATCGACGAAAGCACATATCGCGTCAGGGGGAAGCATCTTATTCTTTACGCCACCTTCGTTCGGGAATCTGTCGTGGTGACAGAGTTCATGCAATTGATCACCGTTGAGAAAGCTGACGCCTCGACCCTTTCGCCTCGAAAGCTGAGCATTCTGCTGTCTCACCTGCAGGTCGTCGGTGTTGACCTGCAGAGGATTTTGGGCATCAGCACCGACGGTGCGTCGGTGATGATGGGAAGTAATGCCGGACTGGTGGTTCGCCTTCGAGAGCGGATACCCCACCTCGTCTCATGTCACTGCATCGCCCACAGGTTAGTACCGTTTTGAATTGATTTCGTTAATTCGTTTCTTTTTCTGTGCGGTGTACTGATTTTCCTTATTACGTTTAATGCAGGGAGGCCCTAGCCGCTAAGGATGCGGCTGAAGATCTACCAATATTCAACATGGTAGACGACCTAGTCCGTGTTGTGTCGGACCTCCTGGGGCGTTCCCGGCCCGAAACACCAGCGCTTCATGGACCTCCAGGAGCTCTTCACCGAGACCAGCATGGAAGTCCAGGGAATACATCACGTCCAGTGGCTCTCTCGGGGGGATGCGTTGCTTCGCATCCTGGCAGTGTGGCCTGCTGTCATCGTGTTCCTGCAGGAGTTCCATTCCGCCATGTATTTTCTCACCACTTCCTACCGTTTCCACTTCTCCATGTACTTTCTTGCTGATGTGCTTGAGCAGTTGAACATCCTGAACAAGACCTTCCAGCAGCGCCAGGTAAATGTTTGTGTGCGTATTTCTATGCCTCCGCTTTTTATTCATTGTTGGTACACTCAGCTGACATTCCTCCTTTCCTGACCGATGCTTGCAGCTGGACCTTGTCTCACTGCACGGTCAGATCAAGCGCACCACGACACATATCGAGAGCCGATATGTGGACTGAGGGGACGACTTCGGCGGAGGCTTCAGCCGCTGGCTGTCGCCCTTCATCGAGCATTACGGCCCCGGAAAGGACCGCGAAGTGATAGTGGAGGGGCCCGACTCTGATGGGCGACCAACAACATTCAAGTTCAAGCTCCATGACTCTGAGGGGCTCTACGAAGGCCCCTGTGATCACGACGCCTGCGTTGAGGCCTGCACCGACTTCGCCGAACGCATCGTGGCGAATGGTCCCGGTGCTACTGGCAGAACGTATTGCCAGAGGAGGAACTGCGTGCGAGACTGTCTAGGGTGGAGAGGGATGACAGGAGTATAGTGGAGGATATCCTGGAACCTGGTAGCGTGGCGCGATCACAGTGTGGAAGCCGGACCACCCCCTTCAACACCAGTGCAACAAGATAGGGGAGGCACGACGAGCCATGCCGACGCTGGTCGCCTACCCAGGAGCAAGGGGGTTCGTTGAGGTGGACGGCCAACCTGGCCCAGGGATAATATACGACCACAAGAGGAAGAGGTGGGAAGAGCCGACAGCTCTAGAAAGAGAGTTGGCCATGGGATATCTTGCGGGAGCAACAGCAGCACCAGGTGTAAGTGAGGAGGCGAGGAGGGCAGCGGTGGGGAGAGCTATCGATCAGCACTCACTGAGGTGGCTGATTCGCAAGATGAGGAAGGGAGCAAAGGGGCCTGGAGGCAAGAAGGCACGGAGGGGAGGCGGGCTGCGGAAACAGCCAGCGTACTCAGCGGTGGAACTGAAAAAGGAAGCAGGGACAGCACCGCGGCAAGAGAAGCTGTCTGTTACGAAGGGGCCAGAGAGGGAATGGGAGATAGGGGCAAAAGTGGAGGCAAGGGCCGCAGAGGCAATCAAGCAGCTGTTGAAAGCATACCGGGGCACGTTTGCATACAACCTACAGGAGCTGGGGCAGTACAAGGGCGGGGAATTATAAATCAAACTCATGACGGAGATACCGACCTATCAGCGCAAGAGGCGCATGAGTGCTGAAGATGGCGGCCATCTACAAAGATAAGTGCGAGGAGTTGCTAGCAGCAGGAATCATCCGCCCATCTGAGTCCTGCTACGCAGCTGCAACAGTGGTCGCGGCCAGGAAAGATTTGACCGGAGCGGTGTTGTCTCGACGAATGTGCGGGGACTACCGTGATCTGAATAAGATTACGGAGCCTGACCGCTATCCCATGCCAACCGCCGAGGATATCTTCGACCTGCTGGAAGGGGCAGTCATTTTCACCACGCTAGACCTAAGGCAGGGGTTTAACCAAATTGCCATAAGGGAGGAGGACAAGCACAAAACCGCGTTTCATGGGGTGGACGGGTTGTATGAGTACAACAAGATGCCATTCGGCATGCGGAACGCTTCTGCCGTGTTCCAGCGAGCGATGGATCAGGTACTGCGGGGCATACCAGCAGCAGCATGCTATATTGATGATGTGCTGGTCTTCAGTAAAACTGACAGGCAGCATGTGGAGGACCTGAGACGGACACTAGAGGCAATAGCAGCAGCAGGACTCACCTGCCACCCAGAGAAATGTAAGATAGCAAGGAGGACGGTGGCTTATCTAGGATTCGAAGTGAAAGGGGGCAGGCTGGGTATTCAGGAGTCGAAGGTGAAGGTGTTGGACAAGCTGGCGATGCCGAAGGACAAGTCGGGGCTGAGAGCGTTGCTCAGCTTTCTAGACTACTATAGGAAGTTCGTGCCGAACTTCAGCCGACGAGCAAACCTCCTGAATCAACTGCTCAGGGAAGGAAAGCGATGGGAGGGGGGAAAGGAGGAAGAGGCGGCCAGGCAGGATCTATTAGAGGCGGTACGGACGGGCACACTGCTGCAGATACCCAGGGCAGACGCGCCTTTCACGCTTTACACGAATTGGAGCTGCATGGGGATGGGGGCAGTCCTGTGTCAGGAGATTGAGCGAGAGGAGAGAGTGGTAGCATTTGCCAGCCGCAGCTGCAGCCCCACCGAGGCGAATTACTGCTCGTATGAAGGCGAGGGGCTGGCTACTGTATGGGGAATCAACCATTTCAGGGTCTACCTGCAGGGGCGCAGGTTCGTGCTGGTGACCGACCATCAGCCCTTAATGTGGTTGATGACAAACTAGGAGCTGACGGGACGGAACGCCCGCTGGGCGATCAAGCTGCTGGGGTACGACTTTGAAATCCACCATCGTCCGGGCAAGACACTCCAGCATGCTGACGGTCTGTCGAGGAACCCTCCACCTGTGCAGCCCGTGGCGCAGCTGGTAGTCGTAGCACAGGTACCGGCAGCTGGCTGGGGGCAAGAGAAAGTTGAGAAGAGGCAGCTAGATGTCTGGGAGGATACCGAGACTCTGCAGTGGATTAAAGGAGGGAGCATGGAGAGTGAGGAGGCCAGTGAAAGGGCAAGAGCCAGGGGGCAGCATTACCATTGGTACCAAGAGCAGCTGCAGCTCCGCACCAGTGAGGGATGGAAGATAGTGCCACAGAAGAAAGACAGGGAAAGGATCATGCAGCGGGTGCACGGAAAGCTGGGGCACTACGGAACGGCACGCACCAATCAATTGCTGAGCACGATGTACTGGTGGGCGGGGATAAGGAGGGACGTCAAAGAGCTAGTAGTTGAGTGTGCAGCCTGCAGGCGTAATAAAGCAGCACTGGAGAAGGCCAGGGAGGAGCTGCAGTCACTGCCGATTCGGGGGCTGGGCTACCGCTGGTCGTTGGATTTGGTTGGGGAACTGCCTCTCTCTAGGAAAGGCAAGCAATACATACTCGTGATGGTGGAGCACACGAGTAAGTGGGTGGAGGTCAGGGCACTGCCAAGCAAGAATAGTGGGCTGATTGCAGATGCGTTCGTGGAGCAAGTGATCACCAGGATTGGGGCGTGCGGGGAGGTGTTAACTGACCAAGGTACCGAGTTCAAGGGCGGCTTTGAAGAAACCTTGAAGGAGCTGCAGATTACTCACCGTGTGACATCAAGGTATCACCCGCAGTCGGATGGGTTAACCGAGCGCCTGATTCAGACGCCGAAGAGAGGGTTGCGGGCCTATGGGGAGACGAACAAGAGAGGATGGGACCAAGAGCTACACTGGATCCTGTCAGGTTATCGCTTTGCCAAGCAAGCGGCATTGAAGGACATGTCGCCCTACCATCTGCTGTACGGCAGGAACCCCATCTTACACGTGGATGCACCGAAGCTGCTAAGTGCCACGGTAGATGCAGACGAGCCATATCTGTGGGCTGAGTTGGCCAGGAAGAGGGCCGCCTACCTTAAGGAACTGACGCCGGTAGCGCTGGACAACCTCCACGTGACGCAGCTGAGGGACGCAAGACGCTACCAACAGAGGAAGGCGGGAGAGGAGGGAAATAGTCGGAAGGGAGTGGAGGCCGGGCAGGAAGTGTATCTGAGGCAACCCAAGCGAGATACGCTAGACCTAGCAGTCGGACCAGAACGCTGGAGGGTGAAGGAGGTGAGGCAGTCCGGGGTGCTGGTGCTAGAGGATGAGCAAGGAAGGCGCATCAAAGAGCATGTTACCAATGTGGCCGCAGCTGGAAAAGGGAAGGGTAAGGCTGTGGGTCCTGAAGCCAGAGTTGCCAGTGCTGGAACTCAGGCTCGGGAGGGGGCAGTGCAGCCTGAGAAACAGGGAGAAAGCAGGAGCGGTATCATCACTTACACCAGAAGGAAGCAGAGGCAGACAGTCGGCAATGGGGCAGGCTAGCAGGCATGAGAGGATGAGGGTGAGAGAAGAGGTGGAAATTACCTGTCAAGGAGATAAAGGGGAGTATGAGAAGGAGGAAGAGAAGCACAGTCAGAAGAGCAGACGGAGGGGAGCTACTTCATGACAGCTATCGCGCTATTAACACATAGCCTGCGGCTAAGTGTGAATTGCACAGCAGCTTAAGGTGAGGTTGTACTATATTGCTGTTTGTTTCCTGTACTCATACTTTCATTTGTGTGCTTGGAATGTACTGTACATATACAGAGCCGAGCAGGGTGGAGAAGCTCGAGGAAATTGGTGGGGGCAGGGCTGAATTCGATTCCAGGCTGAGAATTCGATTCAGAGAATGCAATTCCAGCTGGAAGTCGGTGCATGCCTAGTGGGCCACTGGGACCCAGCTAGCACCTAGAAGCTATCACGAGCAGCACTGCTGCTACGCGAATTGGCAACTAGAGTTAGCTTGTGGGCAAGCAACCTAGGCAGCAGGATGGTTGGGACTTAGGCAGGGGAGGACACCTGCTCCGTGCTTTTTGCTTGTTTGTTTCTCGCAATACTGCAATTCGTTTTCCCAACCATGGAGGCAAGCAGTTAAGAGAAGCTCAGGCAAACTGACGGAGCCCTTGCGAGGGAGAGAATTTAGTCTTGTTGCTCGTGGAGCCTGAGAAACAGGGAGAAGGCAGGAGCGGTATCATCACATACACCAGAAGGAAGCAGAGGCAGACAGTCGACAATGAGGCAGGCTAGCAGGCATCAGGGCTCTCTTTTCGTTTCAGGGCACTCTTCCAAATCAGGGTTCCCGCCGCCCGCGGAAAAATCAGGGTAGTGGCAGGGTGATTTGTTCGAGGACCCTGATTTGCAGCTTTGCTTTCGGCGCCACTCTACTAGAGGGAGAGTTTGTTACTTGTCACAATTCGAGAATTGCTGTTTGGGACTGGCTCGCGCTACAGCTGTGCCTGCGAGACTCTATACTTAACGATTTCTCTACCACACAGAAGGTGTTCGCCAAAACGTCGCAGTAGGATCATAGCTCCTCTCTACAGCTGTCTCTGTGAGTCTCAGTACTTCAACATTTTTTGACACACAGATGGTGCTCGGCAAATCGGCCCAAAGGAGTCACGGGACTTAGTGTTTTTTGCCAATGAAAATTCACTTGAGCTGAATAATCTCAGGACGCACACTGGCCGGGTGAAAACGATGGCAAGCCGGCTTTAAAAGTGTAAAAATAGAAGGAAGTCGGATTCTGGCAGGGTGACTTTCTGGGGGGACCCTGTTTTGGCAGAGTAGCGCTAAAAAACCACCTTGTTTGGCAGGGCAAATAGGGTAAAACACCCTGCAAAGGATAGCCCTGGCAGGCATGAGAGGATGAGGGTGTGAGAAGAGGTGAAAATTACCTGTCAGAGAGATAAAGGGGAGTATGAGAAGGAGGAAGAGAAGCACAGTCAGAAGAGCAGACAGAGGGGAGCTACTTCACGACACATCCCTACCAGGATTTCAGCCTTGAAAAGATCCTAAGGGCTTCTCAGCCCAACAGTAGAGAGTGTATGTTGGGCACCTAACCAACTCCAACAAAAAAATACTGGTACAGGGTCATTCCCATCAACACTAGAGAGGACATGACATAGGGGAGCATAACTAGGGGAGCTTGTCAAGCGCAGTGTCTGCTCTGCTGCCTTTTCTGTTTTTGTTTTTTAATTGCAGAATCTGTTCAGCAGCATGGACTGAAGTTATTAAATAAAAAATGACAGGTTGCTCAGCTCTGTATCGCCTTGTGAATGCATGTAAATTTTATGATCGACCCCCATACAGCATTCATAACAAGGTCCTTCTCCTGACTGACATGTATGACAAAACTGTCTTGTAGAACCACACCACACCACGCCACCCTAGCTGCATCTGAACATGTATTGAACCCAAGCATCTTATCTGTCTCAGGACACTTACAGCCCATACATGTCTCTAACACCCGCATCTCTCAGACACCCTCTCTCACTAGTCAGTTTGTCACATCATGAAACATTCAGATTGTGCAGCATCTGTAGCTGGATGAAATCGTGAGGGAGAGACTCCAGGTGCTTGCACGAATCCATGTCAATATCTTTGAGGCGGCTCAGCTGGGCCAAGTGGCCAGGCAGGGAGTGGATCGGGGTGTATCCCACGTTCAGCTTGTGGAGGCAGCAGAGGCGGGTGAGAGAGGCAGGGAGGTGTGTGAGCGATGAGCAGTGGGCCAAGTTCAGTTGGCGCAGTCGGGACAAGGCGCCAATGCCGTGTGGCAGCAAAGCAAGCTTGGGTGCGTGCACTTCCAAGGAGGTCAGGCAGTGCAGCTGGGTGAAACTGTCTGGCAACTCTCTCAGTTCTGGAGGCTGCTCTATGCACAGCTGCCTCAGCTGCTGCACAGCCGATCCCAACTCATCGGGAAGTGTCTTCAAGCGTGCAGCACTTCGAATGGCGAGGGTGCGGAGGTTAGGGCAGAACGCCAGGGAGAGTGGCAACTCCTCTGCTTCGCCTGCCAGCGCCAGCTCCAGGTGTTCAACAGCGGTCAAACTCACGGTAGCCACCAACCCACGCACCAGGGCAACACCAATCAAGCTCATAGACCTCAGCCTAGGCAGTGCAGGAAGCTCTCTGAGAGGGGTGAGCCGCTGGACGCTCCCCAAGCTGAGCATCTCAAGCGAACGTGGCAGGGATCTGGAGACCTCAGCCAGCTGCGCGCACTTGCCAATGGCCAACTCTCTCAGCCTTCTGAGGGAGCTCAAACTGCTGGGGATGGAAGAGAGGTTGCTGCAGCTGTCAACACGCAGAACCTCAAGGCTGCCAAGGTCGGTAACCGTCTCTGGAAGCTTCTGCATCTTAGGGCATGACCGAATGCTCAGCTCACGTAAGTTACTCAGCCTCCCCACGCCCTCAGGTAGTTCCTCAATGCCGCAGTGGGTGAGCTCGAGGCTTGTCAATGACTTGAGCTGCGTGATCGAGCACGGCAGCAGCTCCTGTACGCGATTTAGCATGAACTGAAGAGTGTGAAGGTTGGTGAGCCCCCCAATGTCTTCTGGAAGCACAAGCTTCGGCGAGTTGGCGATGCAGAGGGTCTTGAGTGCGTGGAGGCTGCCGAATCTTGCAGGCAATGCCAGCATCGCACGGCAATCAACCAGATTCAAGGCCTCCAGCGACGTGTGCTGGAAGAAAGTTTCTGGCAGACCTGAGATCAGCATCTGCTGCAGCGTCAGTTCCCTCAACGTGGGCAACTTTCCAAAGTTTTCAGGCAGGCTAACCAGATCGACCGCAGAAATAGTCAACTTCTGGAGGCAGCCGAGGGAAGTGAACTCATCAGGCAGATCAGTGAAGTTACGGCACGCGCAGATGCTCAAATCCCGAAAGCGTGCTAGTCGCTTTCCCATGTCGTCAGGAAGGCGCGCGAGCTCGTCGCAGCATCTGAGAAGCAGCCGCGTGAGACGGCTGCACGAAACTCGTGGCGGAAACAGCCGGTCAAATCGTGGAGTGCTGTAGTTGAATTCCAGCGACTCAAGGAAAGGCATGCGAGCGAACGAGACGGGATAGGCTTCGTCGCCTTCGAGAACGAGCTGCATTTCATCGCACAGAGAGAGGTTGGCGAAGGCCGGGAGGTGCATGAGGCTCGTAAGATCTAGCTCCTCCTGATCCGAGATGTCCACGGAGAGAGTGGCAAGAGACGACAGGTTGGTGAATCCAGCTCTTCAAGTGGCGAGCTGTGGGTCAGAGCCAGGGTGTGCAGGTCGGTGAGGTGCGAGAGGGACGCAGGAAGCCTCCCATATCAATGCAAGTAGTAGAGCAAGAGGTGCTGCAGCTGAGTACAGCGACGCAGGAATTGGTCCAAACCAGCTTCGGTCACGGGATGCTCGTCCTCCCTTTCCCAGTCCCACATTTTCGCGATCTCCTTTCCCACGTGAGCGACACCAGCTTGGGGCACGAGGCAGCGACGTGAGCGAGGAAGGCGTCGTCGATGGTCGCGACGCTGTTGTCGCTCAAATGCACGTGCGACAGGTTCGGGAAACACGCGACAGCAGCGGTCAGATCCTAGAACGAAATGGCACGGTTTTCTTTGATGAGGAGCATGGAGACCTGCTGGCGAGCCACGCGACGCCAGCGCCAACAGACGGAAGCGATGAGGAGATTATACGCCGGGTCGGTGAACACGCGAGGAGCTGACAATGGACTATGGCTCTTCCGTTAAAGCGAGCTTCGCTCTGAAGAGCCTTCGGAGGTGTTGAGCGCTTCACCGTACGGGTTCTTGGAGTTGTACCTCGGCCGAGGCAGCACGAATGCGGCTGGAGTGTTGCCCTTCACTACGGGCTGGAAAGATATAGGTTGCTCAGAGTGCCATAAGATATGTATAAGGAGGTCGTCCAACAGGTTATGAATGTACGAGCGAGCCATGTCTGGAAGCTGGAAAGAGCGAGATGAACTTCTGGCAGAAGGAAGCAAACCCTTGTGAGAGACGAAGAAGGCTGCTTAGAAAGTCAACAAGCTAAACTGGCTGCTGGAGCTCTACATCGCCACAAAAAAAAGGTGCCCTGGCTCGTGCACCACGTCGTCGTAGTAGTCAGGTTCCCTCCTACTTCGGGGAGGAGAGGGTTTGTTGAACTCTGCTGTACTCTCTCTCCTCTTTCTGTGTCTCGCATTTCACAGAGCAGGAGTGATAATGTTTTGAAAAAACATGTTTAACGAAGGTGTTTTCCCGTTCCTGAAAAACTCGGATCATTTAAGAAAGATTTGCTTAGTGCCTCCAACTTGTTCCGGTGGCACAACACAACCCATATGGCACTACTTAGTAGTTCGACGCCATCGCGTTTATGAGGTAGTGATGGAACAGCGTCGGGCTAGACAAAATACATAAAAAACAACGGACGGGGCATACTGAGCCGCCAATTTTTTTATGCGTTTGAAAATCGGAATTTGAACGCCAAATGCGGTGCGGATCCGCCAGTGCCTTTCGACATCTCACAGTATAAGATGTGCCGTTCTTGCTGGTCTTGCATATGCATATCAACATTTCAGAAGCCTTTCTCTCAAATACTTCGAACACATCAACTAACCAATTACATTGTTACCAACAATGTTATGAATGAATTTGCGGAGTGCGCAGCTTTATGAATAACGAGAATTTTGAATCCTGAATGACGATATAATGCAAGTGACGAGACCTAAATAAGGGAAAACCTAGCTAGGCGAAGAGGTTGGGCGAGGATGAATGGATCGGAAAGTGTTGCAAATGGAATGGGGCCGACTCGGGAGTGGTTCAGTGCGACGAAATAGGCCGAACGTGATGGCCGCGTGGCCATCGGGATGTCCTCGCTAACAACTGACTACAGTAAGGAATTATAATTCCTTACACTTTCCCACCTCCCAAAAAAGTCCTCTTTAAACGAAAAAGAGTCTCGCAATAATAAGAATGCCATCGATCTTCAATATAGCTGAATCCGACGGCTGAAATTGCCTGCAACAATTTTGAATTTTGGTCGTTGATATAGTCCGATTTCGATCTGACGGCTGCGAATGGCCTGGCCCAAAATGAACTCAAAGTTGGAATGTGGGCCGATGATGCACTTTAACTCGATCTGACGGTCGACGATGACGTGAATGTGGTGGGGATTCTGCTGTTGCGTTGATCAGTCGCGACGTAGTTGAGACCGTCGATTTCAATGAGGCGATCGCGGTCGTTCATCGTGCTGCCGCATCCTGACAGAGTCAAGAATAGTACCGAAGAAAACGCCAAGGAAAGAAACAGTGTAGCGCACATTCTTCCCCTCCTTAAAAAAAACCCGTCAAAAAAACTTTCCACAGTTGCGCCAAGGTGAGAACTAAAAACAACACAGGTGTTAAGTCGCACGTAGAAAAGCATTGAGCGTAAAAGTCCAGGCGAAATGGCGTCGGTTGGAAAAACCGATGATGAAAACCAACCGTTAAGTGCCATGAAAACCTTTAAGGGTGAACCCGCAGAAGTAGACCAGGAACCGAAACCAAAATAACCGAGTACTCGAACCGATTCTTTTTGTCTTCAAATCGCCAGGATGAGGCGATATCTTCATTAATATATGGGGGGGGGGGGGGGGGGGGGGGGGGGAAGGTTCGCGGAGGCGAGGGGAGCATTTTTTGGCAGAGCACTCCCGTAATCCTCCGTAACTTGGCCGCCCACTCCCGTAACTTCCCCGCCCGATTACGGAGCGATAAAACCTAGGAATCACTACGGGTCTCGCGTGCCCTAATTCGTCCACGTCGGAGCCACGGAGGCCACCGCGGAACCCAGACGCAACCTCGAGACGAACCGCGCCGAATTTAATTCGTCCACGGAGGGACCACGTAGGCCTTCGGGGACCCGGCGGAAACCTAGGTTCACCACGTGTTTGTTAGAAACAATAGGAGCGTGGCCTAGGCTTAGTAGCCTAGGCCCACACTAGGAGGTAGTAGGATGTGCCCTAGGACTAGGGTTTTGGGTATGTGAAGGAGAAATGGAGAATGGTGTCATTGAACTAGCAGGCAGCAGGATACAAATAGCAAACCCTAAGGGGTTGTACTCACTATTGAGCACCCCACTGCAGGCTAGACAAACAACATAATCTGACACACCCCCATAGCCAAAGTGGGGTGTAATCAGCACAACAAACAGTCATAGCAGTAGTTCACAATTTATGAGCAAAGCTAGAGGCAGTCACAGAGGGCAAGTGAGGAGGAGGAGGAACTGTGAAGGGAGAGAAGATTGGAGACGACGACTGAAGCTGCAGACACACAGGTGCAGCAGGCTCTCTGAGCTACCAGGACAGTGCGCCCCGGACTACAGGTGCTGCAGCCTCCTCCAACTGTCCCACACCCCCCTACACACATCCCCTGTTTCACCTCTAGCTCCACTCCCACATCACCCCCCTAGCGCCACTCCCTTCGGCTCCCACACCTCCACCCCCCTCAGCGGCAGCTGCAGCAGTGGGAGACGAAGGAGGAGGAAGGGACGACGCACACGGAGCACCCCCAGACCTGTCACCCCCACACTCCTGTCCAGGGGACGGGGGGGGGGGGGGGGCAACATAACAGAACAGAGCGCACGAAGCACAAGGCACAAGGCACAAGGCACGAGGCACAAGGCACGAGGCACAAGGCACGAGGCACGAGGCACAAGGCACAAGGCACAAGGCACGAGGCACAAGAGAGTAGAGCGCACGAGGGCGCGGGCTGCAGCAGGGCGCACGAGGGCGCGGGCAGCAGCAGGTAGGCAGGGCGCGCGTAGAGGCGCAGCGTTGGTAGGCAGTGCGCGCGCAGAGGCGCAGCGCAGGTAGGCAGGGCGCGCGCAGAGGCGCAGCGCAGGTAGGCAGTGCGCGCGCAGAGGCGCAGCGCAGGTAGGCAGGGCGCGCGCAGAGGCGCAGCGCAGGTAGGCAGTGCGCGCGCAGAGGCGCAGCGCAGGTAGGCAGGGCGCGCGCAGAGGCGCAGCGCAGGTAGGCAGGGCGCGCGCAGAGGCGCAGCGCAGGTAGGCAGGGCGCGCGCAGAGGCGCAGCGCAGGTAGGCAGGGCGCGCGCAGAGGCGCAGCGCAGGTAGGCAGGGCGCGCGCAGAGGCGCAGCGCAGGTAGGCAGGGCGCGTGCAGAGGCGCAGCGCAGGTAGGCAGTACAAACGAACACAGGCAAAACGAACAAATACACGAACAAGACGAACGTACACGGAGTGGGCAAGAAAAGACACATACAGAACGAGAGGAACAAGACTGCGGGTGACAGGAAAAGGAGGCGGCTGCACCGGGACCAGGAGCGGCGTCGCATGCAGCTGCAGGGTCGGCGCCGTGGGCTGCTGCAGAGGCGGCTGCTGCAGGGGCGGCTGCTCGGGTCCAGGGGCAGCTGCAGCAGTGGCGGCTGCTCCAGGGGCCAGGGGCGGCTGCTGCAGGGGCGGCTGCTCCAGGGGCGGCGTCGCGGGCCCAGGGGCGGCTGCACCAGGGGCGGCGGCTCCAGTGGCGGCTGCTCCAGAGGCGGCTGCTGCAGAGGCGGGCGACTCCAGGGGAGGCTGCTGCAGTGGCGGGCGGCTCCAGGGGCGGCTGCTGCTGTGGCGGGCGACTCCAGGGGCGGCTGCTGCAGTGGCGGGCGGCTCCAGTGGCGGCTGCTGCTGTGGCGGGCGACTCCAGGGGCGGCTGCTGCAGTGGCGGGCGACTCCAGGGGCGGCTGCTGCAGTGGCGGGCGGCTCCAGGGGCGGCTGCTGCAGTGGCGGGCGGCTCCAGGGGCGGCTGCTGCTGTGGCGGGCGACTCCAGGGGCGGCTGCTGCAGTGGCGAGCGGCTCCAGGGGCGGCTGCTGCTGTGGCGGGCGACTCCAGGGGCGGCTGCTGCAGTGGCGGGCGGCTCCAGGGGCGGCTGCTGCAGTGGCGAGCGGCTCGAGGCGCGCCCTGGCCTGGCGCAGTCCGTACGGGCCGCGCTGGCGCTCGCGGCTGGCCGTGGCGCTGGCGTCCGCGCGGGGCGACGAAAGGGGGGGCGCGGGGCGACGAAACGGGGGCCGCGGGCGACGGGAACGGGGGGCCGCGGGCGACGGGAACGGGGGGCCGCGGGCGACGGGAACGGGGGGCCGCGGGCGACGGGAACGGGGGGCCGCGGGCGACGGGAACGGGGGGCCGCGGGCGACGGGAAC